GAGTCATATGTATGCCTGGCACACAACAGCTCAGCCAGTGTTTCTTGGGACTGCTATTGTGGTCGTTGCTAGTGCTTTCCATGCCATCACTTCAGCACAGACATTCCAAGGGACACTCTCATCCCCTGCAAACACATGAACCTGAAATCCTGAAATTACTTCTTCCTCTACAGCAGAAGGTTGGGATAGAAAGGTTAGATGAGAGTCCAAGGGGCTTAACATTTCCTTTCTGTGTAAGAACATATGGTTAGAAAAAAGAAATGAGGCATGATTTTGGAATTCTCCTTGGGGAGGCAAAAGACCTGGACAAACACTCTTGACTTCTTGCTCTCTGAATCTTGAAACCAAGTTGCCAAGCTGTCTCCTGCAGGCCCGGGTTTTCTCCCACAGACTATAGCTTGGCTCCTGGATTCTGGTGGCCTTGTGTGCTCAAGTTAGTCTCCGCAGGCAAAGGTAGTTTGTTTCATTCTGCTTGTGGCTGGGGATTTTTTTCCCCTAATCTCTTCTAAACTTGTATAATATAACTAATGGGAAAAAGCAAGGAGCTATGATTGTTTGCATGATGGGGAGTGAGATGAGCAAAAGAGAATAGCGAAAGCTTCTAGTAATCTCTGAGTCTCAGATTTATGACACAGTAGAGGATGACCAAGTGTTCCTCCATTTTTATTGAAGACATAAACAACAAAACCAGAGTCTCACACCAAGGAATTAGGCTTGACGAAAGTAAAGCCAACCTTGAAATACTGCTCACTAATGCCCTCAAAAGGTCGGTACACACATATAAAGAGCTGCAAATGCATACAGACACCGACACTTAAATACCTCCAGTGATCCTAATCCACACAGAATCACCGGCAGAGTCCGTAGATTTGGGCATAGTGTCAAATGAAGAACAGGTGAGCTGGGTGGCTGGGCATGAAATGCCGAGGCAACAAGCCCATGCAAAAAGTTGAGGTATTAGCAGCCAGGTCTAGTGCTTATGCATTCTACACATCAAAAGTAGACTGCTGTCTGGGTTCTGGGAACTCTCACTCGGGAACTCAGGCCTCCATTGGCTAGTTGCTGGGTGGGGTAGGGTGGGGGAAATAGTCAATGAGTCACACTCTGATTCTCAAATGTTCTCATCTACTTCACTTCTCTAAATACCACAGTGGCCACATCAGGTCACCAGGCCACAAAGGATTAAAACCTACATGTGCCTGGAGGAAAGAAAGACTCTTCATTGCCAGGGTCACATAGGACTTGTGACATTTTAAAGGGACCAATCCCAGGTGGGTTTGGTGGTACACACCTGCATTCCCAGCACTCAAAATAACAGGATTGCCTTGAGCTCAAGAATAACCTGGGCCAGATAGTGAGTTTCAGGCTAGCCAGGGCCACAGAACAAGATAGTATCCTTAGAAACAACATGCAGATAAATTAAAAAACAAGCAGACAAAAACCCTAACAATCTATCAAGCATAAGACTCATCCCCCTGATGTGGCTTGTGACTATTGCACTATAAGTCTTCTTCTTCAAGCCAGACAACCACTGGGAGCCCAATGCAAACAAACCAACTCCCTTACCCTTTTTCCATCTAGAGTAGCATACTTGACAGTTCCCATTAGCACATTTGCTCATTTAGCTTCAACCAAGCCCTGAGTGCTGAAAACACAAAAATAAATCAGAGCCAAGCCTCCAGTCCTAAGAACTTGAACGAGTCCTACAGTGGGCTTATAGGACTGGGGCTTGGAGAGCTTTGCTGCAAAGCAATAGGAATGGAAGTCATGAGACAGAAAGGGCTTCTGAAGAAGCCACCAACCAAGCAGTCTGAGGCCACTGAGCACCACTATTCAAGCCCAGCCTTTTCTCTGGCCTCTTGCCCAGGAACTCCCATCACATCTTCCCTGGGCTCTTGCCTTGTCACTTCCTGGTATCAAGCTCTCTCTGTGGATTCTGGCCTTGACAGTTTTACATCACCCACATCTTGGAGCTCATGACTCACCACTCTTACATTAAAGTTTCTTTCTTACTTACACATCTATTTCCTGCCTCCACGCTTTCTCATCACCTCAGAAGCTGAAAATTGTTCTTCCTGCCAAGCCTTGCTGAGCAACACCCTCTCTCCCTTCCTGAGGGCATGGGGCCATTCTGCCTGGGAGCTGGTCACAGGAGACAACACTTCAACAGTTTCTGTGGTAGAGAAATGCAAGGGCATCATCAGTGAACAAAATGAAGGATGAGGCATTCTGTAAAGGGTTAGTGTTCTAAGTGTGTGGGGAGATGTAAACTGGATTGTGACTCCAAGTAGCAAAATGAAAAATGTAACTTCTCACTCCAATAAAACCACATTCTTTAGCTTCTGTATTGAGGGTTCCTAAGTGTGCTGTTATAAAATAACTTGACAAGAGAGACCTAAGGAGGAAAGGACTTATCTAGCTTGCTGGACAAGGTACAGTCCATCGAGCTGGGAAAGGCAAGGCAACAGGAGCTTGAAGCAGTTGGCCACATCCCACCTGAATTCACAACAAAAGCACAGTGCAGACATACTACTGGTCAGCTTGCCTTTCCCCACTTTTAAAAGCCTAGAATCCCAAGCTTAGGGAATGATGCCACCCACAGTAGGCAGGTCTTGCCACCCAAACATGATCAAGCTCACCCTCCAGACAGGCTCTGTTGGAGTCCACTGGAGAGGTATATTTTAAAGTCTTCAGGTAATTATAAAAAAATTACTGGCATGTCTCTTAGGCCGGAATTAACAACATATAGGTTATTGTTTATTTTAAAATGGAACGATATGCCAGTTAACAGAACATTGGCTGTGTGAATGAATAGTGCCTTCCGTATCAGTTCACATTGAATTTCACTGGGGGAACAGTGTGTTTAACAATGTGGCAGCGTAGTCTCATCTCCGCACTGTAACAGACCTATGGCAGGAGCCTGTCCTCCCACTCTACCTTCATTTCCTGGGGACCTCGCCCAACCATGCAGCAGACCCAGCCCCTCCCTTAGCTGATCCCCATTCCTTCCTATCATCCTCCACTACCCAGAAACACTCTCTACCTGGTACCCATCCCAAGTGGCTACACCAGACCTGGACTCAGATCAGTGTCTCACTTAGCCATCATCAAAGAAACTTCTTCCTGTGCAGTAGATAGGAACAAATGCAGACACACACAAGTGGACAACACGCAGAGAGTGAGACACTTTGGAACTCTCAGTACTAAACAGGATGTCATCATCAAACCCCTCCCCTCAGGGCTCCGGGAACTATCAGGAAGGGAAAGTGAAGACATGGTACGAGCCAGAGAGGACGGAGGACACCAAGAAAAGTGTCTTCCAGACGTAGAAGGATTGACTCAAACTTGAATTCACAGACTTTGGCAGCATACACAGGGTCTCCGCACAAAAAGGAAAAAATTAGTTCTCTTCAGTGGTGTCTCACTGGCTGTACAAATCATATGTAATGACAGGCACCATGCCCAGCAGTAGTTGACAACAGAAAGCAAGCTCTATGGTGTTTTGGGAAGATATTTTTTGGTCCCATATTGCTTTGTTCAGGCATTTTTTTTTAACCTTAGTAGTCCTTTGCATGTATGTTATATATTATAATATATAATGCAATATGCATTACATATTATAATATATAAATATGTAACATAGTTATATAAATGTATATTATATGCATTGTATATATTGTGCAGAGTCTCCAATTTTGTTTTTCTGTAGTTTGTGGTCTGCGTGTGCATATATATGTGTTATTCGTGTTTTTTCTTTTTGTTGCTTTGCTTTAGTCTGGTTTGTTAGTTTGATTTTGCCTGCTTATTTCCTAAAGAAAAATTAGAAAGCATGAAATTGGTATGAGGAGGCAGTGGGAAAGATCTGGGAGGAGATGTGAGAATGGAAGTCATGGTCAAAATATATTGTATAAAAATTATTTTTAATTTTTTTAAAGAAGAAAAGAAAAATGCGGCAGGGGCTTAAATAAGAGACTTGCCTGCCTCTGCGCTGTTCCCCATCTCCAGGTACTTCAGGTAGGCTCCAGCTAGGCTGCCTCTGCGCCCGGTGCCTGTGGAGGCTTCGAATAACTCTTCTCGCTGAGGTTACGCATGGTATAATCTTGCAATCAGTGTTGATGTTGCTGGCTCTGCCTGGACCTCTCGGTCCCCTGGTAAAGTCTATGCCCTGGGCCCCCCTAAACCCGTCAAACAGCTGTGAAACTATCCACAGATTTGTTGAGAATTTCCAGGGTCATTAGCTCAATCTTGTTCTCCTCAAATTCTCACCCACAAAGACCTTACAAGCATGTGTTGAGACCTGCTTAAAGAGCAACTAGTGGTGGGTGTGATAGCTCATAGCTCTAATTCCAGCCTTCCCTTCCCTAGGCTCCGGAGGATAGAGAGTTTGAGCCCAGTCTGGGCTATACAGTGATACCCTGTTTCAAGATGGGGGAGGGAGCCTCTTTAAAGGTGTGTGCATGTATTTTGAATGTAAATTAATGTGCCCAAGCTCACTCTGCCCTAAATCCTACTAGGGTTCTTTTCATATCACTCCCGGTGTTAGAATCCAGGTCCCTTAACCATTTAACCATAACTTTATGAAACTTTATGAAAAAGTGTCGCTTTCCACTTCGTATACGAAAAACAAACAAACAAACAAAAACAACAACAACAAAAAAAAAAAAAACAACTTAAGAATCAGAGAGGGTATGCTACTATCTTGGAGGCCGCACGTTGTTCATTGAAAGAAAACCAGACTCACAAGAAGTATGCTGATTGGAGAGTTTGACTTTGTGGGGCTACAGGTAAGCAACCAACTGAGAGTGAGAACTCTATCTTCTCAAGAGGGAAAGGGCGTTACTGGCCTTGCTTTAGCCACTAGCCAGCCTTTAGCTACGTCTGTCTCTGTCTCTAGGTGGGACGTCACAGCTTCAAACTGAGAAGCACCTTCCCTGGGTCACAACAGGCCCCGCCCCTCCCAGGCCACGCCTCTCCCCAGCAGAGCCAGTCACAGCCAGTCCTCAGCTTCCACTTCCTGTCTGATCCTGGGCTCTGCAGGTCAGTCCAGATGGTGCCTCTGGGGTTCTGTCCTGGAACTGGTCCTGGCCTGGCCTTAGAGTTGAGCAGAAGCCACGGGCTCGGGACCCTGAGGATGGGCAGGTACCAGTTGCAAGCTGGGACCAGCCCTGAGTGCACAGGGCCAGGACGCTAGAGAGCGGTTGCCAGGCAACAGTGTATCTATCCCCCCCCCCCAGCCTTCCAGTGGGGTGTGCCGGACGGAGGGGCGGGGCTCTGGTGTGCGTCCCTTTCTTCGCCCTGCTCTGCGCTGTTATTGACCCCACTGCTCAGGTGTACTGCTCTAAAAAGATTGGCTGCCTCTTTCCGTGAAGCTTGGTACCCTTGGGCAAGTTAATTCACACCCCCGGGATGCGACTCCGTTTCCCAGGGAGTGTTAACTGTTTGAGCCGTACGCCAAGGCTGTTTTCTAGATAAGGAAGCCTCACAAATCACCCACCACATTCAGCCCTGTGGTGTCCTTTGGTTTCGCATTATGATTTCCATAACATGAACTGAGAAACCGGAACTCCCTGACTAATTTTCGTGGCAGAATTATAGTTCAAGTTGTCTGCACTACCAAGCCCATGTGCAAGCCGCAACCACAGGATGGTGTATTTAAAATGTGCATCCCTGGGGGTGCCCCCACGTGAGCTGAGACTCACTGTGGACCAAGGCTGGGGAAATCTACATTTTTACAAGCTTTGGGTGATGTTTAGGTGTGTGGCTAGACCTTTGGGTACCACTGAGTTTATCATGTAGTCTTCACAAGTGTAATAAAGCAAGTGTGGGCATGGACATGCAGGTGGTCCTCTATTTACTGATGTGTGTGGTCCAAGCTTCTGGCCAGGCACGCCTGTCAGGACCAAGGTTGGGCTCTGCACACTCCCTGGCAATCTGTAGGCTGTTCTCCCAGCGTCCTTTGCATCAGGTCCCTAAATCACAGTGGTTGATGTTGGCTTTGGAGAAATTATTGTAGAGCAATTTTCCCAGCAGAGACAGGGCTGGCAGCTCTCTGGAAGGATTGCCACAAGTAATGAGTGTCCCTTGGCCTTAAGCAGCAGTCAAAGGAAAATGGCTCACCCTGCTGTTATTCATGACATTTGCAAACACAAATCTGCCCTAATAATAATCACTTGGCTCTTAGTCTTAGACAGATAATAGGCCCGACGGTTATGTTTAGTGTTTTATTATTAATTTCATAATTTATACTGCCTTCCCTAGGGATTTGTGTCTGCAATGGCTGATGATCAAGAGAGAGACTTGCAGAGATTTCTGGAAAATGTGGATGAAATCAGTAAGTAGCCGTAAGTCACAGACTGAGTTGTGCCTTGGAGAGGTGAAGTGGGTAAAGAGAAATTACAGCTTTAAGTTAGCTCCTGGCTTGTCTGACAGGTTTATGACTCTCAAGGAAAAAAAAAGTGTAATTGAAATTAAACAGAAAGGCTATTGAGAACTCCCTTCCAGCCTTGGGGGCAGTATTTTCTGGCTGTTAATTAGTATCATAGAAACTGTACAGTCTGACTGAAATTCAGGCTGACAGCTGATATCCATGCACCTTTCCAGCCAACAAGAGCTGGTGTTTTCCACATTGCCAGGGAGCCTAAATGTTCCCTTTGAGATCTCTCAAGAAGCTGCTTAATCATCTGGGTCCCTCTCATTGTAGGCAGGGGCTAAGAGTGTGTGGCTTTCCCACAAGATTCAACAACTATGTGAATGGCTTATGAGTTTCATCCTCTTCTCGGTCCCCTGACCAAGAACACCTTTCCCTAGCTCCAACAGGTATACTTCAGAGAAATTCCAAACCAGCCCACCCTGTCAAGACTTTAGGGAGCTTGTTTGAGGCTAAAAAGAGTGTGCACATACAAACACCCCCCAACTCCAACACACACCTTAGACAGCAAACAGGAATATGTCAAATTTGTCTAAATGGCAGGCTGTATAGATGAAAGAAAAGCCTGATTTAGAAATAGGATAACCTCGTGTGGACAGACACTGGTGTTCCTTGTGTTCCTCACTAGCATCTCCTGAACTCTTCCCTAAATGCTTTTGTGGCCCTGGCACACCGCTCACCCTTCTCTTCATGTGAACCCACCTGGTGTCTATACTACCTCATCACCTTTCATTCAGAGCCTCAGGCTCAGTGGTCAATTGCCAAGGCTACAGTGTACCGCAAATGCTTCCAACTTAATGTGTCCAGAACTGAGTCATCACCTCTTTCTCTCCTCTGCCCTTTCTAAGTCCAACTCCCCTCTCTGCTGTCTCCTTTGGTGGCCCTGCCACCCCAAATCTGCAAGTCAGCGGGACTCCTCCCACCTTTCCACCTTGTGTCCAATCAGTCTCCATATTTGTCTCCCCCATCCCATGCCCTGTCTGTCAGACTGCTCTGAGATGCCCTTTGTTCTGGTTCCTCTCTGCAGACTCTTAACAACCTCTAATAGTCGATCCTGCCACCAGGCCTGCACTCCCCACAGAGTAATGTAACTGAAATGCAGATCTGGCCAGACACTTCTCTGCTTGTGTTCTTCTCAGTCGCAGTAAATCAGGAGCTCTCATCAGGGCTAAGTCCTCACGTGACCTTCTCCTTGCACCTCCCCACACCTCCACAGCCCCCACTTGAGCAGCAACAAGCTGCTTGTAGTTTGCTCCCCGTGCTCTGACATTCCATTTCTGCACTTGGACTTTCTTATTCCATCACCTTCCTTTCCCTGTCTAGATTTTATTCATCCTCGGTTTACCCAGTTATCATTTATATCAGCATCAAGCAGTTGAATTTTCCACAGTGATGAAAATGGTCACTGCGGCAACTGCTGGACACCTGTGGCTTGCTGGGTAGTGACAAGGTGGCTTGTGTGACCGAATTGCTAACCTTACTGTATTTTTAGTTAAATTTAAATGCCCACATGCATATGTATTTAATGCATCCATTCCTCAGTCCTGCTATGTGTTAAGTACTATACAATATAGTAAAAGAATAATTTTTCTTTATGACAGCCATAGTTCAGTGTGAAAAGAGATATTAAACAAATAATTTCAAGGTTATATGCAGAATAAAGAGAGAGTTGAAGAGTGCAAAAGAATCTAACTCAGTTGTATTAGTCTGATAGAACTATCACAAAGTACCAGAGGCTAGGTGAATTAAACAAGGAAATAGGTTTTTAACACTGTTCTTGAAATTAGACTGTAAGAACAAAGGGTTGACGGGATTCATTTTTTTTCTTAGACTTCTGTGTTTGGCTTGTAGAAGGCCACTTCTCATTGTGTAATTACTTGTATATGCTGTGTGTGTGTGTGTGTGTGTGTGTGTGTGTGTGTGTGTGTGTGTGTGTACAGGTGTATGTGAATGTTTAGGAGTATGAAGATGCATGTGTGTATGTTTGGAGGGTCAACCTTGGGTGTCCTTCCTCAGGAACTCTCTACTTTAGGACTCTCTAACTAAGAGAGAGTCCCTGACCAACAAGGCCCAGGGACCCTCCGTTGTCTGCCTCCCTGGCACTGGATTACAGATGGGCTCCCACACCCAGCTTTAACAAGGGTGTTGCACATCAAACTCAGATCCTCTAATCTCTGTGTTGCCAAGCACTTTACCCCTGAAGTGTTCTCCCCAGACTCATCTATATACATTCTTTGGGGAATTATTTTTTCTGTTCCAGTGAGTAGGGACCTTCATGTACCTATTCCTCTTTACTACCCGGGGAGAACAGAGAGGTTCAGAACCAAGTCAGATCTATCCAGGAAAGGTCCCTTCTGTTTGGACATTGTCCCAGGGTGAGACCCAGGAAATGGAGCAGTGGTTCTTGAACACACACGGGTACCACTCACAGATGGCAGGGTCACCTTTTTTCTCTGTGGAGATCTCCCAGACAGGAAAGTCTAAGGAGTCCTGGGTCTAGTTCTGGCAGGGAAAATGACCATCAACGGGACACATTTGCAGTTCATTATATTCTTCATGTCTTTGGCTAAGGTGCAGACTCCTAAAAATGTCTCTGAGGCAGAGGGCAGCTCAGTGTGACTCTTCATAAAGAGTCTGTGTATATCATTTTTTTAAAATTTAGTTTTATATCCCAACTACAGTTTCCCCTCCTCTCCTCCTAGCCCCCTTTTGCCTCCCATCCCCTCATCCACTCCTCTGTTTCTCTTCAGAGAAGGGCTGGCCTCAATGGATATCAACCAGCCATGGCATATCAATCTGCAGTAAGACTAGGCATCTCCTCTTCTATTAAGGCTAGGCAAGGCAACCCAGTCAGGGAAAGGGTCCCAAAGGCAAACAACAGAGTCTGGGACAGCCCCTGCTCCCACTGTTAGGAGTCCCACAAGGAGACCAATCTACACAACTTTAACATATGTGGGGAGGGCCTACATCAGGCCCATGCAGGCTCCCTGATTAGTGGTTCAGTCTTTATGAGCCCCTATGAGCCTGGGTTAGTTAATTCTGTGGTTTTCTTGTGGTGTCCTTTGACCCCTCTGGCTCCTACGATCCTTCCTCCCCCTGTTTAGCATGATTTCCCAAGCACCATCTAATGTTTGGCTGTGGGTTTCTGCATCAGTTGTTGGGCAATTGGGCTGGAGGCAGTCTATGAGGATAGCTTATCTTGGGAATAGATACCTATGAGGATAGAATATCTTGGGAATCATTTCATTGACTTTTTTGCCATTCATTTTTGCTTCTATTGTGGGTCTCTAGGCTCTGGTTCTTGGCCCTCTAGACAGTGTCAGGAGTGGGCTCCCTCTCATGGCAAGGGTCTCAAGCTCAACCAGTCAATTTGTTGGCCACAGAAGTTGGCCACACAGAAGTTGACCAGAACATCTTGCTCCATTATTTCTCTGTTTAGTTTTTGTCTGGATGCCCTATCCATTGGTGAGAATGAGGTGTTGAAGTCTCGCTAGTAATGCATAGGGTTCTATGTATGACTTAAGCTTGAGTAATGTTTCTTTTACAAATGTGAGTGCCCCTGTATTTGGGGCATAGCTGTTCAGAATTGAGGTGTCATCATGGATTTTTCCTTTGAGGAGCATGAAGTGTCCTTCCCCATCACTTTTGATAAATTTTGGTTAAAAGTCTATACCAGCTTGCTTCTTGGGTCCATTTGCTTGGAATAACTTTTTCCAGGCCTTTACTCTGAGGTAATGTCTTTCTTTGTTGCTGAGGTGTGTTTCTTGTGTGCATCAGAATGATGGATCCTGTTTTCAGATCCATTCTATCAGCCTGTGTCTTTTTATTGGGGAATTGAGTACATTGATGTTGAAAGATGTTAGTGACCAATGATTGTTGATCCCTGTTATTTTGATGTTGGTGGTGGTAGAGTGTGCGTGTGTGTGTGTGTTTGCTTCCCTGTTTTGGTTTTGCTGGTGTGGAATTTTTTTTACTTCCTGTGAAGTTTTTTTGTGTGTGGGGGGGTTGTAGTTAACCTCCTTGGGTTGGAGTTTTCTTTATAGTACCTTCTGTAGGCTAAATTTGTGTATAGATATTGTTTAAATTTTTGTTTTATCATGGAATATCCTGTTTTCTTCATCTATGGTGATTGAAAGTTTTACTGGATATATTAAGTTTGGACTAGCATCTATGGTCTTTTAGAGTCTGCAAGATATCTGTCTAGGCCCTTCTGGCTTTTAGAGTCTCTATTGACAAGATGGGTGTAATTCTAATAGGTATGACTTTATATGTTACTTGACCTTTTTCCCCTTGCAGTGTTTTATATTCTTTCTTTATGTACATCTTTAGTGTTTTTATTATGTGGCAATAGTGGGGAGGACTTTCTTTTCTAGGTACAATCTATTTGGTATTCTGTAAACTCCTAGTATGTTTATAGGTATCTCTGTCTTTATTCTGTGTATATTCTTATAAAGACACTAGTCATGGTAGATTGGGGCCCCACTCTTCTAACATCATTTAATCACCCCTTCTCTTTTGATGTTACTTAATTACCTCTTGAAAGACCAAAAGAGTAGGGTTTCAGCATAGATATGATTGACTGTATGCAATCCAGCCTGAGGCAGATGTCAAAATTTCTCTGAGAACATGAAATGTAAGTAAAGTCTAGAGAGTCAGTAGGAGCTGACCATTGTGGATGTGAAAGAGTGTTCTAGTCAGCAAGTGAAGAGATAGGATATCTGGGAGCTAGGAGAGAGTGCAGTGCTTCCTAAGGAACAGAAGGATTGAAAAGGCCTACAGGAGTGCAGAGAAGTCAGCAAAGGGAGAGGGGTCCCCAGTGAGTGAAGAGAAGCTGGAAGAGGGCAGCTGAGAAAGCTATAGCAAGGAATTCACATTTACCAGGAGCAATGCTTCAGGGACCCTACGAGGGGAATCCTTAGAGTGGGAACCGCTGATGTCTTAAGAGAGTCCCTGTGCTGGGTGTGTAGTGTGGACTAGAGGGGACACTATGGTGCTGAGGGGCCAGTCACAAGGCTGCTCCCAGCACTTCAGGGGTTAGGAGTCATCCGCTGGACTCAGAGTTAAGGCAGTGGGAATAGAGACAGTGCATAGATTAGAACACACTTAGAAGTTATTCTTGACTAGCTTTAGTGTCCTGCCTGTGAGAGCTGAGAGAGAATGAGAACACATGGTTTGTGTCCTGAGAGCTGAGTGACAGGTAGGAGGCCAGTGGGTTACTGAGATGGGGGCATTTGAAGTAGAAGGAACTTAGAAGAAAGATGGGTGTATCAAGTTAGATGAGTAAGTTGTCAGAGAAGTTGTTCAGTGTGCAATAGGCTTTAGACTTGAGCCAAGAGAAACACATCCATAAGACAGGGGTAGACTGAGAGCTTAAATATGTAGAAATATTTACCAGCCAAATAACACACAAAAATAAATGCCAAACGTAAATGCCATGCGAAATACCATACCTTAAGACAAAGGCCGTATTAAGTTTTACTTAACAAAATTTTACATATTTGTGATGTATGTCATATTTTGACTTAGTATACATTATAAACTAATCAAGCCAAGCAAATAAACCCTTCAAAGCACATACTTGACACATTTTTGGTGACTGCATTGAAGGTCTACCCTCCCAGCAATTACAAAATGCACAGCACCTGATAGTTCACCGTTCTGTGTGATACAGCCATGGCATGTATTCCTGTCGTCTGACTACAACCCACCTTGTACTCTTTGTTCTCCAGGCCCCAAACAACCTCTGGTAACCACCATTCTACCCTGCTTTTATGAGTTTCAGCGTGGAGGTGACATTTTTCTTGTCTAGGCTCAGAGTGATTCTCCATGTTTCTATAGGGAAAAACACTGTAATGAATATGGGGGTGAAGATAACGACATAGATTGATTTTATTTCCTTTATATTCATCCCTAGAAATGAGGTTTCTGCTTTTTGGCCTCAGGAATACTGCATTTAAATATCAAACTAAGTCTGTCAAAGCATATTTAAGATCTTTGTGGAGAAAATTATAAAATTTTAATTGAAAGAACTCCCAGTGGGAAAAACGGGGACAATATGGGCAACAAAATAAACAACATAGTTTTTATATTATAATCTAAAGTAGAAAATATTACCCATAAATTTGTGCTGACATGAATGAGATTGGATAGGTAAGCAGGTAAATGAATAAAACAAATCTCCAAGCTGGGTGAATTCTTCCTGAAGAAAAACACAAGTTAAATGAGAGACACCTTAAGGCTTGCTTGCCAAGAATGTGGTATGGAAAAGAATTCGACAGAAAATAAAAGCTGACAAACACAGCCTTCTGCAAACGGTCAAGATTAACATCATGATTATTCATAGTGACAGCTTTCACCTTGAACTGCTGTGCTCTTGTCTTTCTCACCAGTCCTGTTGTCTAGCGGTGAGAAACACACCAAATAATCCCAGATAAAAAGACTCCATAAAATACTTGCCCATTACTCTTGGAAACTCTTAAAGTGAAACCAAAGAACTGACTCCGAGGCTAAAGATGCAGAAGATCCCTAGAGTTCTGGCCTCAGCACCCAAATGGTGGAAGAAGAGAACCAACCCCCCGCCCCACAGTCCCTGACCTCCCTACTGTGCTCTGTGGCACCTGCACATTCAAGTTCTTCACCCCACCCCCGCGGTGACAGCCATTCAATAAATGTTAAAACCAACAAATAAAAACCATGGAAGTTATCAGAAACAAGGAAGGCTTGACAAACCTCCGCACCCCTGAGAAACATAAGGAGATATGATTACTGCAATATGCTGCCCCTAATGAGTCCCAAAACTGAGAAAGAGTGTTAAGGAGAAACTAATTGTGTTAGAATAAAGTATGGGGCTTGGTCAATACAGATTTTATGAAAAGACATAAGAGAATGCCTGTGTGTAGGAAGACATGTATTTTTTCTCAGATAACATTTGGCAAAGACAAGAGTTCTCCTCAAATTATTTTGCACAATTAGTTTAAATCAAAATCACCAAAGTGGTTTGTGCTCAAATTCAACAAATGGCTCAAAGGTTCATGTGGAAGAGCAAAGTGCCAGTAATAAACAGAAAAATTCCTCAGGAAAAAACAGTGGTAAACTAACTCTCCATTGTTTGAGATTTAAAAGAAAGAAACAAACAAAAACATAGTAATCCAGGTAAGGATGTAAGTGTGCTAGAAAGTACAAGCATTAGGAAGGAATGAAGAGCAAAGATTTCACATCTATAACAGGGAGGACGAAACACGCTGGAGAAGGCAAGGACCCTCCTCAGCAAGCTGTGCTCCCTCACTGCACAAAGTTCAACTGTACATGGGGATCTAATGAACGAATGAGAAAATAAGACTAAAGACTGATGCTTATGTATATCTGCGTGTTTGTGTGAATGCATATGCTGGTGCCCAAGGAAGCTGGGAGATGTTAGAGCAATCAAAGCTTCCATAAAAAGCAAATGAAAAGAGACTGTACCCAAGGAGACTTTGAAAATCTGTGTGATTAGTTCAGAATCTATATAGAAGTCTTTCGGTCAATGCAAAGAGGACAAATGACCCAGTAGAAAATGGGCCAAGCATAAGAATAAGAATATCATAGAAAACAAAAACTAAATGAGCCATAAACTGCTAAGATATTCAGTCCCAATCACGAACAGCAATGATGGTGGCAGTAAGGTGAAGGAGTGTAGCTTCTTTCTTTTTTTCTCTCTTTCTTCTTCCATCCTTTCTCTTCTTTCTCTCCTTGGACTTATCCTTCCGTTGATTCCATAAAATTTTAGGTTAGCATGTAAAGTATTGGGTTTCATCATGAGATCTTTTTAAAATTACACTTGCTTGTTTACCAGGGTGAGGGGTACACATTCACGTGTGAATGGCAGAGGACAGCTTTCAGGAGTCTGTTCCTTCCGTTGGCCCTGTGGGTCTTGAGGATGGAATTCAGGTAGTCAGCCTTGGCAGCAAGCACCTTCATCTGCGTCACCATATGGCCAGCTTAGAAACTCTTATAAACTACTTATAGATAGATATGAAACTTGACATACTCATATTCTGAAGAATATTTAATATGCACATACAGGTATTTAACTACTGTCTGAAACATAAAAACTAAACCACATGAATGTCTGCTAATACTAAACTGACTTGACTCGTGGTGTCTAAATCATCTAGAACCACAGGTACCAAGTGAGACTCTTCAGCATATTATAAAGAAAACATAGACCACACTATAGTGCATATTTTACAAAACCAAGTAGCCAGAATGTTCAGATAGCTAGCAAAACTTGCAACAAATTACTTTCTTCACTTCCAGAGTAGAGGCTGTTTCTCTAGCCCTTGAATCTACATCACTTGCACAAGCAGAGGCTCGAACCTCATGCAAGAAAGACAGCATCCTTCTCTGGTGAGAACCAGAGATGGATGCAGATGCGGGCAGCTGTGTGAGCTAGCATGACCTTAAAAGAGCTCTGTCCTGGTGCCATCCCTTTTCTTTCTGAGTGAGTACCTAACCCCCTCTATTTGGAAGGATCAGACCTCGAGTGCTCGAGACTTGAATGTCTTTGAGACAATAGTAGGCTGCCTACCTTGGGATGCCATGCCAGGGTTGCTAGGAGGGTGGCGGTCACTGGAGGTCCCAGTCAGACTGGGACCAGTTCCCCAGTATTTATCCATCTTTCTTCATCAGTGTTCAGCTCCCCTAGTCGAGGATGCAGGATGTGGATAATTAGACTGATCTGAAATTGGAGTGAGATGAGCAGATTTATCTGGTAGGCGGGGTAGGAGGGCAGAGGAGAGCAATGCTCCTCAGTGACAGCCTAGCAATGCCAATCTGTGTAGATAAGGCAATGAAGAGAGGCAGGGAGACAGTTAGAGGCTGTTGTTTCTGTGCGTCCCAAAGCTGCTTGTGTTACTCTTGTCACCCACACAAGATCACAAGCTTTTCAAACAAAACAAAAGGACTTTTTATTTATCTTTTTTTTCTCTAATATTCAGCAAGATGTACAACATCTAATAAGCAGTCCATAAATCACTACAGAGTGTAATAGTGATTTAAAACTCTGTTCGTTGAAGCCCAGTGTTAAATTCCCTTGCCGTCCCCCCCCCCCACCCAGGCAAAGCAAGTGCTATACTTAATTGTTTCATATTCATCCCAATGATTCACTGGGCTTCCTATTACCTTCTTCCCCTATCTATGGATCATCCTTATTAACTTTCAATACCATCCTTTCCATGGATGGAGTCTTTCTGTTTGAAGAACTTGCTTGACTGAATCACATGTGCTTTTCCCTCTAGCCACTTTAATCCAAGAGATGAATTCTGACGATCCCACCATACAGCAGAAGGCTGTCCTAGAGACGGAAAAGAGAATCCTGCTGATGGAGAGAGATCAAGAGGAGGAAGGATGCAGGACAACCTTGAACAAGACCATGATCAGTCCCCCCAAAGCCCCAGAGGTTTCCTTTTCTGCTATGAAGTTATATAAGTAGATACAGTAGGGAGACCTGTGCTGAGGCAGGAGCATGACCTCAGATCAGCTGATGAAGCTGGAACAGGCTTGTTTCTCAGGCTTCCTGATCTGTTTTCCATATGGAATAAGCCTTCTGAGCATTCCTTTTGGGGAAAACTCAGCCTCTCTTCCCCATGAGCTTGTACATCTAAACCCACATGTTCTACCAATCCATACTTAACATAGTCACAGATCGGGGTGGGGTGGGGTTCCTTGACTTGGGTAGTGTTGATTCTGAGGAATCAGACCCCTACTTGTGCCCGCACTTACATCTCCAGCTTTAAAGCAAGCCCCTTTAAATTTTGGAGCCATCAGTATTGGTGGTTTAAAAAAAAAAAAAATGACCTGATTCCTCATTTGCAGTTAGATTGCTCCCTTGGCTTATATGCACATTTACCGGAGACTGAATTTTAAATTTTGTTTCTTTGTTTTTATGATAACTGGTACCTTGCAGAATGCAGATGAAATGAATCCAGGTAAGGACAGCATCTCTGTCTTCCAATGTGTTTTATTCATTTAAGATCAGTTGTTGTTTTCTTTTAATAGAACTTTTTATGTGACTTCCAGACCCTTAAATTATAGCCTCTGGGCTTACTAACAACCCAAGAACAAAATCCTGCTTATGACCCAGGCCTGGTGTCAGTGGTCAAAGAGGCAACAGACAGAGGCTTTTCTGTTTTGTTTTGTTTCCTCCTGGTCAATCTTTTGTAAACTGAATTCAGTTACTCTTTATGATCCAGTTTTCCCTTCACTGCTTAAGGGAGGCAGATACTTTCTGTGTTGCTCAGCTCTGAGGCTCATTATGCTAAATAGAACAACAAAAAAAGTCCCTCTTCAAAGAAAAAACTCTCCTAAAAGATATAATTCAAACCTGAGGCATAGACATAGCCATCAGGCATAATAATACACCACACAGGTTAGCATTTAATGTCAAATTAAGAAAGTGGCATTTTAGCTGCCTCAGTGTTGTGTGCATGTACACACACACACAAGCATGCCTGGGTGTGCTGACATATGTATGCATAAGAAGTAGAGTTATAAAGTCCTAAAGTGGCTTCCTTTGGAATTTGAACTAAAAGGACTGCTTAGAGTATCTGGCTTTTTCTTTTTAACGGTGTAAATTACTCTGCTGCCAGAGGCCTTCTTGGCGTTCGTGGAGAAGGATGCAAAGGAACGAGCCAAGAGAAGGCAAGAAAGCAAAGCCCAAGCAGATGGTAATTGTTGGTCCTTACTTTTCAGTCGCTGGGATGACTCCAGCTGGAAAGAGCCCATGAAAACCTGTGTGCCAATGTGGCGGGAGGTGGGAGGGATCGCGATGGACCGGCAAGCCAGAGGACTGGCCAGGCAGAAATCATCTGTCCTCTGATCTTACTCAACATGCAGTCAGCAGGACACAGACTCTGATTCAGGACACAGATTCCTGACTCCTGAATGGTGCTTGGCTAGCCTGAGCTAAAGCTATGGTCAGAAAGAAAAGTGAAATGGGGGTGGGGTGGGGGGAGAGGCAAAGTCCATAACAATCGACAAAGAGAAATTGCATGGGGTCGGGGGCATGAAAGTGCTCAAAGCTCTCTGTGTCGTTTTAAACATCTGATGGTATGTCTAATCAGCTCTTGCCCACTCCCCCTTGCTACAAGATGATGAGGACACTTGTCTTGGTCAAGGGTAAGTAAGATGGAGCAGATATAAGCCTCAGTTCAGAAAAATACTATTTCTCTGAGGAGCTGCATAGAAAACCTGAGCATAAATTTGAAGAGCATAAGTTAAAGAAATTGGACCTCAAATAACTGCAGAGAAAAATAAGTGGCAATTCACTAAACTAGAAAACCTGCAATTTAGAAGGACCTTCTGACGAGAACTCACTGTTTGCCTTCTATTCTCCCAGCCCTAAAGGAAAAGGGGAATGAGGCCTTTGCCAAGGGTGACTATGAAGCAGCCATCCTCCACTACAGCGAGGGTTTGGGGAAGCTGAAGAACATGAAAGTGCTGTACACCAACCGAGCCCAGGTGGGTGACCCAAGCCAGCGTCCACAGTGGCGACTTCAAAGACGGGTGCTGGGAAACCTGTCATAACAGAGAGAAGGGTAGACAAGCATCACTGGTGGGCTGGTAAATGTTTACCAACCAGCCCTTGTGGTTTCCTGTTACAAGTGCCAGTTTCCACGGTATGAACACTTGCCAGTCAGCCTTTAATCACCGTGTGACTGGGTCTGGGGAGAGCTATTCATAAGCAGCTTTCTCCGAGTTGGCTCCTGCACACCACTTGTGATGACCAGGCACCCTCTCCCATGCATATAAAGGGAAACCCAGGAGGCTGAAATGGCCAGTGAGAACGTGGAATCTGCCACCACGCCAGTTTTGGTGGGACTCTCAAAGGCTTGTTATCTCAGCTAGTTTCCTGCTCATTTGATCAAACCTGATTTGTTTAAATGGTGTAGTCAGCAAACCTACTGCAGTTTCTGGAGAATTCAGAGGTTCTGAAGCCCTTTACCCTCAGTTTTCTTTCACAGGGAAACTCAGTTTCTCAAAACATCAGGCATAGCTAACTACCCCACCCCTGATGTTTCTTACCTGCTGCTTAACAAAGGCAGGAGGCTGATAACTATCATTTGAAACAAACATGTCACTAGTAACCTTATCTTTGAGATACAGCGAAGTTTGGGGTGGCAGATTCATGGATGTGATCTCATGACAGACAGGACCTGTCAGCTGGACCTCTTTAAGACAGTCCTGATGCCATGTCATTTACCAGAGAGAGAGGCAGCCACAGAGCCCTCGTCAGCTCCAATTTCTGTAACTCAGGAGTGTCTGTTTGGGATTTGTGGAGGAGAAGTATTCAAAGCAAGGCACAGGATATTCAAAGACTGCAGAGTCTGGAGAGTAACAGTGATTTAATGACAAATCCAAGAAAAATACAACCTCATGACCTAAACCGTCCGCATACGTCTGACTAGAGCCCAGGCATCCTTTCCCACCAGCATTTGCGGCAAAAAAATTGTTATAAGAAAGCAAGTCCACAAAAAAGCTTTAGCAATGCCCATCTTATTACCCTAACAAGAGATTAAGTATTAAGTTATGGACAAAACCTGCTATATGCCTCCCCCAGTGCTCTGTCTGTCACAGCTATCCAGTATCCCATTACTTACATAACGCAGGAGCCATAAGTCCATTTAAAGAATTCAGAAGAATCATTTAAGTGCAAACAATTAATACACTTATTACTTTTCGTTCTTACTCGGCACCAAATTTTGTCTTAGAAAATATCTACCTACTGATGCTCATTCAGGCTTGTCTCCCTGAAGTGATTAGAAACCAATAGAGTTGAATTGCTTTTAAAATGTTGTGTAATTCAGACTTGTATCTAGTGAAAGCTGTCCATCCTCCTCAATTCATCTAAATTAGTTGCATTTTTACTGTATTCAATTTTAAACCACCCTTTGATTAGTCATAAGAATCCCATTAAGGGTGGCTGTGGATAAATATAAGGAAACACAGTGAAAAGCTTTGGAGAGCAATTTCTTCCAACTCTTTCTGAGAGCACGCATTCAGAGCAAAATAAAAACAGAATGTGCTGCCTGGTATTAGAAATCACTTGAACCACTGACTATTTTTAAAATGTCTCTCCTTTTGCCGTGTGGTGCTAGAAAACAATAAGGTCGCTGGGAACTGAATATTGCTTGCTAAAGAAAAAAAAAATAAAACCTACCCAGTCATTGCCTTTGTTTCTCTCCTACAGCTAATGTTATAATCAACAATGCTAGTGCTCACTAGATAAACCTAGAATTTAATTGCCATTAAGAAAAGTGGCTCTTCTTAAAACAGGGAAAGCAGAAGAGAATGGAGACAACACAGGGTGTCAGATTCAAGTCTTGGAGAGAAGAGAAAAATAAAAGTAAAAGGCTATCTAGAGAAAATGGTGAAGCCCATGTTGATGACTTCCGACTTGTTCAGAACTTGAACCGTGTATTGTGAGACCATGGCCTCAGATGTCCAGTTGTCTAGGATGGCACTGCCTCCTTCCTCCCCTCCGATTTTCAAGTGTAACTCGAGACCTGAAGAAGAGGGTGTGGAGCTGTGCTGCAGAGCCCACCAGCTGGCTGTTGCCCGCTCCCGCCTCTATTTGGTTGGATGCCTTGATTCCCCAATGTCACCCTGGCGATGTAACTGGCTTTTCTGTGGAAACAGCTCAACTTAATGTTAAGAATGTTACAGCCCCATGGGAAAGTTTGGGCCATGAGGAAACCTAGTAGTGTGCTGGCATTGTTCTTGGAAACTGAGGACCCTGGAGAAATCAGTCATCCTCTGGTGCCCAGGTTTTGTATTTTGTTTTGTTTTGTTTTGTTTTTCTTACATGGTTTCCTCTGGAACTTAAAACAAAACAAAACAAGTACCTAAAATCTATGTAGTGTTTCTTGGTAAAAGAAAAAGGAAAAATAAGAGGAAAGAAAACAACAATATATATTAATATATTCCTTAACTCTTTCTCCCATTCTATTAGTAAGTCTTAACTTAGAAATATTAATTAATTTAGAAAAATGGTTTCCTGGTTATGTGGCCTATACTTGTCCTCACATATTTACATATACTAATACACACACACACACACACACACACACACACACACACATAAGCTAGGATCCACAAATGAAAAAGAACATGAGGTTTTTGTCTTTTCCCCTCTTTCATATATTCCCCAGATGTACCAATTTCCCTGAAAAATTTGTGTTTCTTTATGGCTGAATAAAATCCCATTGTGTATCTGAATCACATTTTTATTACCCATTATCTGTTGATTGACATCCCAACTGCTTCCATTTCCTTGCTAAATGTGTGTGCAAGTACCTCCGTGGTAGAGTCCTTTGGGCAAATGCCCAGAATTGTTACTGCCAGGTCATGTGGTTTTCAGAGGGCCCTCCATACTGACTTCCATAATGGCTGCACCAATCTGTCATCACACCTCTGAATACGGTTCCTAGCTTTCCCCATATTCCTGAATCCGTCTTCTTTTCTCTCTCTGTTTGGTGATATCAGCTGTCCCTTCTGAACTAACTAGAGACTCCTCTGATACAGAGTTGTGTCTGAGTATCTGGTATTTGTGTCATTGCAGGCTTATATAAAACTTGGAGACTATCAGAAGGCCCTCGAGGACTGTGACTGGGCTCTGAGGGTAAGAGACTGTTTCCTTTCCCACGTGACTGCACTAGGCTTGCTCTGGCCTGCGTTCTGAGTCCTGAACTGTGTAGAAAGCCTCTCCATATGTGTCATCTGAAGACCTTCAGAGAGAGCTTCAGTTTCCTCATCTGTGAAATGGGATAGAACAGGGTTGCCATGAGGGTCAGAACATTGTGCTTAGCTCAGGCATGTGCTCCAGAGACACTGTCACCATTGGTCTGTAAAGGTTTTATGTCACCCTAGCTCATTCTTCACTTGGTGCTGTCAAATCCCTTACTTCCTGTCATAGGGAAAACATCATTTCCTCTCCTCTAGGGCTAGGCACAGAGATGGTTTCTACAATGTCATCTTCCTCATCAGTCTGGGCCAGTTCCGTTTGGATGAATTCATTTGGAAATAGCTTATACCCGCTTCTGTTTGCGGGGGGATATCAGAAGTATAAATTGCTATTGCTCCAGCTCAGGAACATGCACACTGCTTTGTTTCCTATTCCCTGCAAGAGCATACACGTGGAGAATCAAAGGTGCAGAGAGGAAAGCACTGCTTAGCTCTCGGCACCACAATTAGTCCTAAATGTTTCAATAACTCAATGACTTGGACTAAATGTGTAAAAAGCCCTAAATCCAAGCTTCCCTACCTTACACCGTCACGTGATTCTTTGAAAAGAAATTACCCAAAGAAACTTCTCAGAGTGTGCATAAGCCCCTCAAAGGGTCTAGAAACAAGAAGCATTTTTATCTTAAAAAAAAATACTTGAAGATTTTCTGTGGCACTCCATAAAAATGTGGCCCCTCTCCCCCACTCTGCCTCTTTTTCTCATTTCTGTCTGTCTTATTTCTATCTTTTTGTTTCTGACTGTCTTTCTTGTCCTCATTCTCTCTGTCCTATAGCTTTTCACACATTAGGTAAGAATCCCACCACTTAGCCACATTTCCAAGCCTTTTATATTTTGGGACAAGGTCTCATTAAGTTAACTAGCCTGGCCTTAAACCTGTTATCCTCCTTCCTACCTCAGCCTCTTAAGTAACTCAGATTATAGATTTGAACCATCACACCTAACTCATAAATGTATCATTTTGTTCTAATGTGACTATATTATTTTAAACAACTTACAGTCAGATAAGATTGAGATGCTGGGAGAATGGTCCAGGTGTATCCGGTGCCTCTAATTCCCCAGGTCAGCATGCTTGGCCTCACCCAGTGACCATGACCTGAATCAAAAGTACACATTCATGGCCACATACTGGCTATACTCTATTGCTAATCTTTAAATTTTTATTTACATATATGTGTGTGTGTGTGTGTGTGTGTGTGTGCATGATATGTGTGGGTGTAAATGTGATAGCATGTGTACAGAAGTCAAAAGAATCTCTGTGGAGTTGGTTTTATGCTTCCACCTTTAGTGGAGTTCCAGGGATTAGACTACTGTCACCAGGCTTGGCTGGCAAGTGCCTTTACCTGCAGAACCATCTCAATGGCTCCTCTTTTCTACTTTTTACTATTGAGGCTCTGAACAGGGGAAACAAGGACGAAGTAGAAAATCTCCCTTGATTTCAGTGGTTCATAAAACACGTGTGGACCTGCAGATAACCAGAAGTACCTGCTTGTGTCATCCTTCTGAAGACACAGTGTGGGGGAGCCACTGTTTGATCACACAGGGCAGGTCTTTCCGTCATGAGAGTGGCCCCGTGCTGATGGCAGCGTCGGACCTCCATCATAGGCGTGCTCGCCCACTCTGTCACCTTGTTTGCTCACAGTGTCTTTTTCTGTCTTTTTGCTGCAGGCTCGCAGTATAGATTCTGTTCAGTGCCACGATTTTCCTTTTTTTGTTGTGACCAAAAGGTGAAGGCTCAGAGATGAATTAAGCTGTTTACACGGGGTCACAAAGCCAGTGGCCACAGTGTCCACCTGTACTCTTAACTAGCTACTGTAAAATAAAAGCACCTGCCAGTATTCCCTAAACCCCACGATACCTGGCTTACATACCTTCTGAGATCCTATTTCTCTCCTCATAGGGTCCCCACAGAATGTCCCCTACTCAGACAAGGACCAAAGAGTTAGGTACATCCCATGCTGACCCAGTCTAACACACTGGCCTCTGCCCAAATGTTGAGCGAAGCCAACGTAGTCAACTGGGTGGTGACACCAAAGCAGGGTAGGTCCACTGGAGCTGGCATTAAAACAATCCCTGACACTCAGGGCCCAGCCTTGCCTTTAAGCCTGGCGAGGCTCCCAAAGAGAGGTTTGGGTCAAAACAAAAAGGAATGTGAAGACTGGTGAAGTTCCACTCTTTGTGGAAGTCACAAATTCCAAGAAAAGGTTCACTGTCTCAAAAAACACTTTAAAATCTTAGAAGTGAGTATCTCTGACACTCTGTCATTAATGGTGTGGGAACTTTCATGCCAATTTAACATTTCTTGACACTTTTAAATTGGAAGGGGCCAGCGTAAGTAATATTTCAGGACAGATGTTCCTTGTCGAAGATAAGGGTGGCAAAGCCATTTTCCGTTAGGAGCAGACGCATGTCACCACCCGCAGAACACTTTCTGCATAATGAAATTCATCCTGCTCTGAAGACCACACTCCTTCAAAGAGAGCGTGGGGCTCATGTGACAGAAGACTCCTGGTTGGACAGGACAGGTCCAGTCATAAGATCTGTTAGTTGTTCTTTGTGGGTGGCGAGGGGATGATGTCATACCTACTGCCACCTGTCTATGCTCCACCTGTGAATATCATGGTCCTCAGCTCAGGGACCTGCATGCCCCCAGCAGTGTGTCTCTGGTATTCTGTCATGAATATGCTTTGAATACTCGGTTCTCATGAGCAGAAGTGGAGAGCACCCTCTCTTCCCCTTGGTCACTCCTTTCTTGTTTCCTGGATTCCATCCTTTTCAAGTTTGCTACATTCAGCACTCTGCTGCCTGCCCTATTTTCTCTACAACTGGGCCCTTGAAGCTCCTCATCTTTTCTCACAACTCCCATCACCTCTCATGGATGCACCTGTTGTCTCTGCAAGTAGCTTTGAGATCTGCTTGCGTGGCTTCTCCCAGCTCCAGATCCACCTCAGCCACCTCATACAGGTTTCCACCTGGTTGTCTTGGCATCCCCCAAACCACAAACCAACTCTGTCTTCCCACGCAGGCAGCTTCTCCTCTACCTGATCTCATGGCCTCTCTCTACTAAAGGCACACATGCCTTCCAGGCCTCTCGACTCAGGTCTAACTTCTCATCACACATAGTCAGTCGGTGCTGATCTTTCTTTGATGCAGCTCCAATGCCTGCACTTCCCTTCCTGGGACTGACACCAGAAGTTTAGGCATCGGTCTTCCTTCCAAGTGGCTGTCTGGACTCTTTGATCATCTCCCTGCCTTTCCCTGCTCTGGTCAGTTCTGCACGCCACCTCCAGACCATCTTGCCTTCTTGCCACCGCCAATGGCGTACCAGCCTCCCACTTGGCATTTGAGACTTCCCTGTGGAGTCTTTCTAGCCCACCCTTTCCATCCCCTTTTGTTCCTCCACTTCAGTCAGAGCTGGGCTGTCCATGGGCCTTCTGAGCTCTCCTGCCTCTAGACTCTGGACTCCATTCCCTTCTCTCCCTGTCATCTTTTCTTCAGTTCTTCCTTTCACTCAAGATTCAAGTCAAATCCCTCCCCTGTTGCCTGCTCCATTTTAGACCATCTCTCTCTTTAGAGTCTCCTCTCCTGAAACTGGAGGATAGCATTTCCTGTAGTCTATGTTTGTTTATTCATAGCATATTTCTGAAGGATATTTGGTTTTATTTGTTGCTGTTCCCAGCATTGGGAATCAAACTCAGGGTCTTGTGCATATTAGGCAGCCTATGTCCCCAAGCCTGATAACATTTTTAAGCCCTTGTGTCCTGGAATTAAGTGGCCAGAGTTCAAATTCCAGCTCTTGCATGAGTTAATGATGCAGTATTCACCCTCTCCCACTCTGGTTCCCTTGTCTGTGAGATGGGGATGCCTGGGTCTGTTTTGCCGCATCGCTATGAGGCTCACAGAAGGTCACCCATATGAGCCATCAAGCACAGCGCCTACCCCATGGAACAGACTGATTAGCCTGGGCACTTATTATTCTCTTTATTATTCCCATTCACTTAGTAATAGATCAGGAAATATTATACATACAAACACTCCTATAAAAGTTTCTCCAGCAGTTATTGTTCCCTCTTTTACTATTATTTGGCCTTTCTGTAAATCACATTGGCTCTGAAATGTATTGTTGCTGCTGTAACCACAGCAACAGCAGCTAATGAGTCTTACCCAGCAGAGTGTTAAGTGTTACACGATTCTTCCTCCCAACAATGAGAGAGAGAGTATGAAATTACTATCTTTGCTTTTCAGATAAGGAAGATAGTTGTTTCTAACCAACATTCTGAGTTGTCGACTCACCTAGGACATTTTAGACTCCAGAGACTGACCTCTTGAACCTTCTAAATGTAAACCCTAAAGGATGTCTCAGCTGGTTCAATACCTTGCTTATGAAAGGATCCATGAGTGTTAATTAACTGACGCTTCAAATTTAAGTTCATATGTTTGTGCTGTATGGCTCCTTGCAAACTTACCATGAAGAGGAGTAGGAAGAGGTAGGGCCCTTCTGTAAATGGTATATCCTTAGCTGTGCACTTAAACCCTCCCTTTTGTTGGGGGCATCCATCTAGATCTTAAGTAACACTAATATGAACTCCTATTTGTTCTATATAACCAAAGACTGATCCAGAATAGCCATATTTTCTGATTTAAATGAATGAGTTTATTAAGTTCATAGCAAGCCAAAGTAAAAGAATAAGAAGAGGGAGCGAGGAAGAGCATGGTGGGGAGAGGGAAAGGGAGGGAACGGGAGTGCATGAGAGCTAGAGGTCTCAAAGAACGTCCCAAGCAGAACAGAGTATCAGAGCGAAAGAACAGATAGCAACAGGTAGAGTTAACATCATCATACCGAGACATACCGCAGAAACAGACTGGGGCAGTTGAGGCAGTCGGCTGGAGTTCCTTGTTGAGCTTTCTCTCCATGGAGGAGCTTCCCGTGGCTGAACTCCCAGCCTCCCATATCATCAGGTAACTGGGAGGAAGCTCTGCTGGGAACGGTTCTCAAGGGCACGGTGTTCTTACTCCTAAGCTGTTCTCTCTCCCTTACCACAGAGCTAGAAGGGCCAGCCCACTTGCTGTCAGACAGAAGATCTTGGAGGAGACTTTGTGACTGGCAGACATACTTGGGTCTAAAATGGAGTGGGAGGCAACCAAACTTCAAGACCCAGATTCCCTCTCAGAGAGCTCAAAGGGAACATGACAGTTGGCTGGTGTCACACAGTACACCAGTGTTCAGGCTGAGGCTTATTTTCAAGAAGGGGCCTGCCTGCTGCCCACTAGGACACACTGGGAACCATAGCCTTTTCCCCAGAGAATTCTGTCTGCTAATGAGCCAGTAGCTCTCACACTTAGCTGCATAGTCATATCACCCAGAAATCTGAAAAATAATCTGTCTGGACCCCATTTAGACAGTAACTTATTTGGTCCTGGGGCAGCCAGGTCCAGATGAATGTGAACCTTCCAAGTGATTCTAACATTCAGCCAATGCTAAGGGCCCTTCTAAAGTTAGGGTCTTGCTTTACTTCTTGATCAAGTCTCTGAATGGAAGTGAGAGCTGACTATCACTAATTTGGAAGAGAGCATGCCCATGTGTCCAGGCTCCTTGCAGGCAGGAATTAGCTTGGTCACAAATGCACATAAAGTCTTAATTGTCAACTCTGGTAGCTATACTGAGAACCAAAGCGCTAGCCTCATTCTGTGAACTAAGCCTAGGAGAGTGCCTAATGACTTCAGATCCCCTGATCAGCCATTCTCTTTTACGCAGTGTGATGAAAAATGTACAAAAGCCTATTTCCACATGGGAAAAGCCCACTTGGCCCTGAAGAACTACAGCAAGGTACGTTCTTAGCGAGGTCTAAGTTAGATCATAAGTTGGTTAGATGTTAGTCCACATTTTAATGTTTTCTGAAGTCCTGAGATAATACATCTGGGAAGGATGCTGAGTGAAATCTGGAACAGCCCCACTAGCTGTAGGGCCCATGTCAGCAGAATTCTCTACTAGTGTTGGCTCAACTTCCTCAGAAAAAAGAAGTGAACAACAAGAAAGCAAAATTCATTCATAACCTCATTACTCCAAACATACATACTTACACACTACAGCATCACATAGTTAATCACAGTGTGGGTGATGGCGGAAGTGGTAAGCCGTGCCGGGGTCACAGCTATGAAGCCCATAGAAACCATTCCTAGATTTGCTATGGGACCGAGGAAATACTGGGTTTAACATACTCCTGTCTACCCTGGAATAACACTCTTTTTTGTTTATGTGATAGTTGTTATTATGTTCATTCTCTTCTTGTTATTATGTGTGTTTGCAGGCAGGATGTGGGCAAGGTGGGGAGCAAATGCTATGACACAGAGGTCAGAGGACAACTCTAGAGTCATTTCCCTCCTTTCACCTTGACGTCCAGTCCTCTTCCAGTCATTCTTAATTTCAGTTTTCTAGAGTGTTCCTGGTCAACTTTGAAGATAGGAACATATATTTCCGTAGGTTTTAAGGTTTTTTTTGGTTTTTTTTTTTTTTCTTAGAGACTGGTTGGGTGCTCTCTCAGGAGTTCTCATATATATATTTGAGTGACACAATCTTAGCCCCCAAATCTCCTTGAACTGGTCTTTCTTTTTCTTTTCTTTTTTCTTAGCTCTAACTTTTATTTTTATTATTTTTAAATTTTTTATTTGTTTATTATTTATTACAATTTATTCACTTTGTATCCTCCTGTATCCCCCTTCCTCATCCTCTCCCAGGCCCACCCTTCCTATCTCTCCTCTCCCTATCCCCCTCCCCTAGTCCACGATAGGGGAGGTCCTTCTCCCCTACTATCTGACCCTAGCCTGCAGAGAGCAACGCTCCAACCAAGGACCATGCATGAGAGGATCTAGACCCCCTGCTCAGATGTAGCCAGTAGGCAGCTCAGTATCCAAGTGGGTTCCCTAGTAAGGGGAGCAAGAGCTGTCTCTGACATGAACTCAGTGGCTGGCTCCTTGATCACCTCCCCCCTGGAGGGTGCAGCCTTGCCAGGCCACAGAGGAAAACAATGCAGCCAGTCCTGATGAGACCTGGTCTTCCCTTTTCTAGAAACTTTTTATCTAACCATTTCCTCAGTAAGAACTCCCTGTCAAGCTCTGATGCGGCCAGTGACTGGAGCCTTCACTGTTTGCTCTTGTAGCCTGGACCTGTAACCCCAGGCCATTCTCCTCTCTTACTCCTGGGTCTCAATCAACAGTCTCCAGTTTCACTTATTCCCTGAACCTGGACATAGCTGACAGGTTCTTAGTGCAAATATCAAATCTAAGTTTAGCATATACATTATGATTATTCTTAACCCCCAGCAGACATGGTCCATAAAAATTCAAGACTAGGTAGTTTTCATCACAGTTTGTATTTAACAAACAAGTTTTTAAAATGAGCTTTGAAATAGTACCTGTAGTGCCACAAATCCTAAGAAGCCCAAGCAAAAATATCAAAAGCTCACGATTCTCCCTGACTGCCTCTGTGCTGGGAGCAGGGGAGGGGTGGGGGTGAGGGCAGCAGCGGGATAGGAAGAGATAATGAAGGAACCAAGCTCTAGGGTGTCCTGTGTCTGCCCTGTAATCACCATTACCACTGACCACTTTTCAAGGTCTTGCTTCTGTTTTCTAGTCCAGAGAATGTTATCAGAAGATGGGAGAGATAGACCCCAAGCTGCAGACACAGGTGAAAGGTGAGAAGGTCCCGGCCGTGATCCATCTAAATCTTGGTTTTCCTTTGTGCTCTGCTGTGGTGCCCTCCCTACCTTCTCTGCCCTGGTCCAGGCCACACACAGCCTTGCCTTTCCTGTACTGCCCAGCCCTCCGTGTTTCGCCCATCTCACAGCCTGTACCTCTAACCTTGGGCTGTGCTCCTCTCCTCTTCCCGGATCTCAATCAACAGGTCTCCAGTTTTACTTGTCTCTTTGACATAGTTTTTATTCATTCTCTTCCTGTTATTGTGTGTGTTTATGAGCATGATGTGGGCGAGGGGTGGGGAGCACATGCTATTGCAGAGGCCACAGGACAATCTGCTTTTCTTTCCTCTGTTCTTGTGTTCGGGTTCCTCCATTTCTTTTCTTCTGTGCCATCTTCTGATAGACTTCTAGACTCCCCCAAATTTCTAAGATGGTTTGGACCCTGTGGTTAGATTTTACATTGCTACTAACCGGTCCCTTCCTGAAGAAAAGTCTGAATTATTTTCTTGCTTTATGCTTCACATCCTTGAAAGGAAGAAAGGAAGGGAGTGGGCAAGGGCAGGAGAGAGAGGGAGGAGGGGCAGCCTCTTTACGGTTCTGTCGATTGTTAGGATTGTTAGGGGGTTGTTCGTTTCACTTTTTGCTGCTTGTTTTGCTAGAATATTTAAGTCAAGTAACGCTTCAAGAAAAGGCCGATCGTCAAGAGACAGAAGCTCGAGAATCCCTGAAGTCAAGAAAGAACACAGCGATGACAACGAGAAATCTCCTGGAAACCCTATCCAAGCCTGGCCAGACAGAGTTGTTCTATGCAGGAGGCATTGAGATCCTGACAGAAATGATGGCGGACAGTAAGTTACATAAGCATGCGTTCTCATGAGCATTGTCAGTGTGAAGACATGGGGTCCAGACTTTGAGGGACACAGATCCCCTCCCTTCTACAAATACTGATCGAAAACATTTTTAGTTTTTGGTGACAAAAGGAGTATGGAAGAAATGCACCTCGGCTCATGCCCCATCCTCCTCAGAGGACACACTGATTCAACACGCAGACAATAAACACACACACACGGCGTACAGAGCTCCACACGTGCTTGTATTGCATACTCATACCACGTGGTATGTTTATTTATACTTATGCAAATACAAATATTAAATATATAAGTGCACTTATCCCATAAACTTTTTCCTCCTGTGTGTCCCACGCATCTTGCTTACACCCCCACATCTTCTCCAACATCCTATACCGTGCACACACCGTAAGCCATGTAAAAACAGAAGAAATTTTATGATAAATTATAGGAGTCACCCCAGCTGCACATAACAGCTGCTTGGAACATGAAAATAACTTCAGAGGAAACAGCTCCATCTCCTAACGAGATCATGCCATTCTGTTATCAGTTCCTGTACACACTGAGGGCAGAGCTCAGAAAACTGTGGTTGCTCAGCGACAGAATATCATTGTAGAAAAGGATGGAGTTTCTGGTCCCCCTTTAGTTTAGAACAGAGTCGTTCCGGATTGCCCCCTCAGCAGCTTCGTAGAAATTGCAAGTTCTTCTCCAGAGCCCCAAAACAGCTTCAGGGTAAATATCCAGAGTCATGTGGTTTTTCGGTTCTTTCCAGAGATTAAACAACTCCTGTGGGCTCTCTATCGACTTCAGAGTAATGAATTGAGATGCTGATATTTTCTGAGCAGTTCCTCTTACCATATAACACAGTGAATGGCTCACAGCAATTACATTTCTCTGAGTGTGAAAGTCCAGCCTTGCCCACAGGGACCTTATGATTGGTTTGGCTATGCTGCAGCTAAATGCCAATCTGGTGGGCAAGGAACCTGACTTGGTTCTTATGGCTTTGTTTCAGGCACAGAGCGAACACTATTCAGAACGTATAATGGATTCAGCACCATCAGTGACCATGAGGTCATTAAAAGGTAGGGATGTTTGGGAAGAGCCAAATGTCTATTAAGAAAAGAAAGATAGCCATTCGTGAAAATAGTTATTTATCAGACAGGCAAAGCCTTATTCTGTGTCCTTGCTCCCCATGCAGTGAGGTGACCCCTGAAAGAGTGTATGTGAACCCCCTTGAGCTCAGAGCCCTTTGTGTTATGTTGCAGCCAAAAGAGAGGGAGCCTGTCCCGCAGGCCTTCTCCATGCTTCCCAGTGAGACAAACACCAGTCTCACTGCTTTCCCACCACATCCATTTGTTCTTTTTCTCATTTTGGAAGTTGCTGATGTTTTAAAGAAGTAGAAGCAGTTGGGTCCTGGCTGATTCCATGTTTATCTAAGAGAAGCGGTATGGTAGGAGGTGATGGACTGAGTCTGTTAAATATTGGGCAGGAAGGATCCAGGAGGCCGAGGATCCTATCATGGGCTGGATGTTTGTATGTCCACTCATCACTGATGGCCCTGCCTGCCCACCCTCCTCTATGTATCAATCCCTGTGTTTTAGCCTTTGGCATCAGAGAGAGAACTGGCTAAGTAGCTCTGTATGGACGCTCACTCTCTGGGTGGACCACATTTGCCTTGAACCCACAGAGATCCACCTCTCTCTGCCTCCTGGGTGGTAGAATGAAAAGTGTGTGCCACCATGTCCAGCTTGGATGTGCATTAAGAAAAAGCTTCTCCACATCAAAGATATCATCCACTACGACCAAGTAGGCTTCATCCCAGGCATGCAGGGGTGGTTCAATATACGGAAATCCATCAATGTGATCCACCACATAAACAAATTGAAGGAGAAAAACCACATGATCATCTCCTTAGATGCTGAAAAGGCATTTGACAAAATCCAACATCCATTCATGTTTAAAGTCTTGGAGAGATCAGGTATACATGGCACATACCTGAACATAGTAAAGGCAATATTCAGCAAGCCTATAGCCAATATCAAACTCAATGGAGAGAAACTTAAATAATTCCCACTGAAATCAGGGACAAGGCAAGGCTGCCCACTCTCTCCATATCTCTTCAACATTGTTCTTGAAGTCCTTGCTAGAGCAATAAGACAATTAAAGGAGATCAAGGGGATACAAATTGGAAAGCAAGAAGTCAAAGTATCACTATTTGCAGATGATAATAGTATACCTGAGTGACCCCAAAAATTCTACCAAGAAACTCCTACAGCTGATTAACACCTTCAGCAAAGTGGCCAGATACAAAATTAACTCAAAAAAAAAAAAATCAGTAGCCCTCCCGTATACAAAAGACAAAAGGGCTGAAAAAGAAATTAGGGAAACAACACCCTTCACAATGGCCACAAAGGAAGTAAAGTACCTTGGTGTGAACCTAACTAAGCAAGTCAAAGACTTGTATGAAAAAAAAAAAAATCCCAGTCTCTGAAGAAAGAAAGAATTAAAAGAAGATATCAGAAGATGGAAAGATCTCCCATGCTCATGGCTTGGCAGGATTAATATAGTAAAAATGGCCATCTTATCAAAAGCAATCTACAGATTCAATGCAATTCCCATCAAATTACCAACATAATTCTTTACAGACCTTGAAAGAAAAATTCTCACCTTGATATGGAACAACAAGAAACCCAGAATTGCTACAACAGTTCTCTACAGTAAAAGATCTTCAGGAGGTATCTCCATCCGTGATCTCAAGCTATACTGTAGAGCAACAATACTAAAAACTGCATGGTACTGGCATAGAAATAGAATGGTGGATCAATGGAATCGAGTAGAAGACCCTGACATAAATCCACACACTTATGGACACCTGATTTTTGACAAAGATGCCAAAACCATTCAATGGAAAAAAGACAGCATCTTCAACAAATGGTGCTGGTCTAACTGGATGTCTACATGTAGAAAAATGCAAATAGATTCATACTTACACCCTGCACAAAACTAAAGTCCAAGTGGATCAAAGACCTCAACATAAAACCAGACACAGTAAACTGCTTAGAAGAAAAAGTGGGGAAGAGCCTTGAACTCATTGGTACAAGAGACAGCTTCCTGAACAGAACACCAACAGCACAGGCTCTAAGAGCAACAATCAATAAATGGGACCTCATGAAACTGAAAAGCTTCTGTAAAGCAAAGGACACTGTCCTCAGAAAAAAACGACAGCCTACAGATTGGGAAAGGATCTTCACCAACCCTGTATCTGACAGAGGACTAATATCCAAAATATATAAAGAACTAAAGAAGTTAAACAGCAAAAAAATCAAGTAATCCAATTAAAAAATGGAGTACAGAGCTAAACAGAGAATTCTCAATAGAGAAATATCGAATGGCAGAGAAACACTTAACGAAATGCTCAACCTCATTAGCCCTCAGGGAAATGCAAATCAAAACGACCCTAAGATTTCACCTTACACCTATCAGAATGGCTAAGATCAAAACCTCAAAAGACAACACATGCTGGAAAGGATGTGGAGAAAGGGGAACCCTCTTCCACAGCTGGTGGGAATGTAAACTTGTACAACCATTCTGGAAAGCAATCTGGCGCTTTCTCAGATAACTAGGAATAGCACTTCCTCAAGATCCAGCTATACCACTCCTAGGCATATACCAAAAAGGGTCTCAAGTACACAATAAGGACATTTGCTCAACCATGTTTGTAGCAGCCTTATTTGTAATAGCCAGAAGCTGGAAACAACCCAGATGCCCCTCAGTGGAGGAATGGATGCACATATTGTGGTATATCTACACAATGGAGTATTACTCAGCAATAAAAAACAAGGAAATCATGAAATTTTCAGGTAAATGGTGGGATCTGGAAAAGATCATCCTGAGTGAGCTATCCCAGAACCAGAAAGATGTACATGGTATATACTCGCTCATATAGACATATAATATAGGATAAACCTACTAAAATCTGTACACCTAAAGAAATGAATCAAGAGGGAGGACTCTTGCTAAAATGTTCAATTCCTATCCAGAAAGGCAAAGAGGCTGGACATCAGAAGAAGGAGAAAAGCAGGAACAAGTCAGGAGCCTGACACAGAGGACCTCTGAAAAGCTCTGCCCTGCAGACTATCAATGCAGATGCTGAGACTTATGGGCAACCTTTGGGCAGAGTGCAGGGAATCTTATGAAAGAAGTGGGAAACAGTAAGATCTGGAGAGGACAGGAACTCCACAAGGAGAGCAACAGAACCAAAAAATCTGAGCACAGGGGTCTTTCCTGAGACTGATACTCCAACCAAGGACTATGCATGGAGATAACCTAAGACCCCTGCACGGATGTAGCCCATGGCAGTTCAGTATCCAAGTGGGTTCCATTGTAATAGGAATAGGGACTGTCTCTGACATGAACTGATTGGCCTGCTCTTTGATCAGCTCCCCCAAGGGAGGAGCAGCCTTACCAAGCTACAGATGCAGCCACTCCTGATGAGACCTAATTGACTAGGATCAGAAGGAAGGAAAAGGAGACCTCCCCTATCAGTGGGCTTGGGAGGGGCATGCATGCAGAGGGTGGAGGAAGGGAGGGATTGGGATGGGAGGAGGGAGGGAACCACATAGGGGGGATATAAAGTGAATAAAGTGTAATTAATAAAGAATAAAAAAAAGAAAAAGCTTCTCTTAAGTCTGTATTTGGTGAGTCTGGGGGTAAAAAGATTCTCAGAATCCACGTTGTGCTCCCTGTCTTCTCCAGGTGCCTCTTCTCAGAAGGGAAAGATGCAGTTGAGGAGGTTGTCTGCGTGGCCGTTTTAAAGCTCTGGCAAGCAGTGTGCGACGACAATGGTAAGCCTGGCTCTTCACTGTTGATTGCTAGTTGTGTGTCCCAGAAGTGAGAGCTGCATGCTCCACCGTGGTAGAGGTCAGGGAAGGGAGAACTGGTGTCCACACTTCCAGGCCTTTTCCTTCCAAAAAGTATGTGGGTCAAAAGCAAGTTCTATATTGAATTCATTCCCCAGCCCCCACCTTCTCCTCCTCCTCCTCTTTTTCCTCCTGGAGTGGGCAAGATCACTGTCAACATAACGAGTGCCTGCCCCCAGGGTCTTTCTCTGCTCTGCAGAATCATGGCTTCTGCTCATGCCCTGAGCACTGAGGATAGATAGCTTCCTTGCTCGGCTGTTTAAAGATACTTCCTTTTGCTGACCATAGCATCTCTTGCAGCATCTAGAGATATATGACTGTCAGTGTCTTCGGACACTGACTAGCATCTGTTACTGAAATAGGAAAATGCCAGAAGAATTTTATTTTGTCAACTCTTTCCTTTCTTCATACAGTGTCTTCCGGAGTTCATTAAGTCTTTGCACAATCTTTCTTAGTCACTTTTTTGGCTTCTGAGCATATCAAGATTTTAAGTTATTTTTTAATCGAAAAAAAAAAGTGTTTCATAACAATGAGTTTGCTCTTAAGAAGGGAAACTAGAAATGAGGATAATGACAGCGTAGAGCCTGCAAGTAGCATGTGCAAGGTACAAGCCAAGTATGAGGAGGCAGTCTCCTTTGTTTTAGTACGTGAAAGGACCTAGGCCATAGACAGCTAGTTTATCAGGAAGTTTATCTGGTAGGGATCAGCAGATAAAGCCAAGCACTGAAGTTTGAGATCAGAACCCTCATTGACAACAACAGAAAAACCAAAAACAAAGTGTGGTGGCATGCTGGGAATATGGCTGAAGGTCAGCCAGACTGTCTTATTTGGTGATTTCCAGGTCAGTAAGATGTCATAAGAAAAAAGAAAGAAAAGACTTAAATGATGCCTAAGGAGACATGTGAGGTGTCCTCTGGCCTGCTTGCACACACGCGCGCGCGCACACACACACACACACACACACACACACACACACACCACACCAAAATAAAACAAAACAAAACAGGAAGTATCAAAGTCCCTTGCTCAGGGCTGTATGTTTGCCAAGATCCTGAAAGAAGGTGAGAAAGGCTGTGTTTTCCCCCTGTGAATCAGGCATAATAACCCAGGTACTTCTGTTTCTGTGAGCCTTGGAAGTATGTTGTTTTAATATCTAAAAAATATTCTAAACTGGGGTAAGCATATTCTAAGCTGAAGCTCAGGGAATCTTGACATGCCCAACTCAATAAACACAAAGCCATTTTTAAAGAAGCCGGAGAATGTGACAAAGCAGAAACACGAGAATGCATCAATTGCATCTTGTTGGGTTGAGGAGAGAATTCAGTTCCAGCACATCCACAGTGACACACGTCATCCAACAGGTCACACCTCCTAATCCTTCTCAAACAGGTCTACCTACTGGGACCAAGCTTTCAAATATATTAGCCTATGGGGGGCACTTGCACTAAAACTGTCACATCTTGGAGATCATTATTTCTCAAAATCAAAGCAACCAAAACTTTAGCCCTGAAACCTTTGAGCATGTTTCAGATTGAAGCCACGACACCATCCCTCCAGTGTGTCCTATTGCCAATGTGTCTAGTTGCTGTCAGGTTCATTACTTATCCCCATGCTCCTGCCTGTGTTCTGTCTGCTCCCTGCTGCCTGCTCAGAACGCAAAGCAGTCAAAACTCAATGTCATTGAATTTCACTGTTAGAGCTCTGGAAAGAGCTCACGGTAGAGGATGGAGGTAGAGTACTCACATGATATCATAGTTTCCTGGCAAGAATACGAATGGTTGCTCTCTCCAGTTTCTGAAGACTGATGCTCTGATTATATTCCAGTTAAGATAAATGCTTTTCCTTTATTCATTCCCATGTTCCACCCACTGAGAAAATTTTATAATAACGACAACAATGTAAGTAATCTATGAAAGCCGATCTCTGTCTAGCACCGTCAGGCAGTGGCAGGCTGAATCGTCATAAAACCAGGTGGGTCGTTGCCCTCATCTTCCTGATGAAGAAGCTGAGGGCCACAGGAGCTAGTTATCAGTAAGGGTCATCACTCTGCTTATTCTGATACAGAAGGTTTTTGCTGAGTCCGGTTCTTATGGGTCATTATTCTGCCTGGCAAATGTATTAATAAGAGCCAGCTTCCCTTCAGGGCGGTGGGCAACAGAACTGGCTTAAATGCTGTCGTGGCAGCTCCAGGCTGATAACCCCTGTATTCTGCAGAGGAAAACCAGCGCCTGCTTGTGACCCACCCCGATATGGCCAAGCTGCTCCCTTCCTTCATGACCTCCAAAATCCTGATCATTCAACAGCAGAGCCTGGCCCTACTGCTGCAGCTCACCCAAACGGAGAATGGCCGGAAACACGTCATCAAGCACCTTGACCTGACCCGGTAAGCCTTTGCCAGTGGGATCTTCCTTATGACCCCGAGGTCACCACTAAGTAGACAAGGTCAAGCTGCCCATACTTCCTGTCTCTGGTGTCTAGTTGCCATCAGGTTGTCATGAATCTTCATGAAAGACAAAACGACACGAGCCTTTGAGGGGAGCCCTATCAGGAGGGTTCTCAGACAAGCTGCCGGCTAAACTCAGGACCATGCCAAGGTTCGATTCTGCACAAGCAGAGACCATTGAACTTGTCAGGGGCAGAATTTCCATAGGCAGACAGAGAGTCCAGCCTGGAAATGGACCACTTGCTTCTGCGCTGTTAGAGTCAGGCCCAGCTACCCTGTCTCTCCCCCTCGCTCCTCCTCTGCTCTTCTGTTTAACGTAATACTAGTGTTTTGCTTTTCAAGTCCTTCAGGCATTTCAATTAATAAAACAAGTGTTTTTTTGTTTTGTTTTGTTTTGTTTTTAATGAGGTTTTCTCCAAGATTGAGACAGATAGGGATAGTTTGTGCCTGCCTCCTAAAAGGACTTTCTAAAACAACTTACATGCACCCTAGTGACTATTTCTGTCTGTGCTTTTAAAAGTCTTAAAATTTAATTGTATTTGTTGATTATTTTTTTTTAGTGTGGAAGGACAGATGTATGTGTTAATATGTTTGTATATAAGCATACGTGTGTGTGTGTGTGTGTGTGTGTGTGTGTGTGTGTGTGCGCGCGCGCTAGTGTGCAAGTGCCTGCATGAGGCAAGTATACATATATACATGAGTGCGCTTGTGTGTAAAGTTGCACAAGTATATGCATGCTTGTGGAGGCCAGAGGTCAACCTTGGGTGTTGTTCTTCAGGAGCCATCCACCTTGTTTGTCCGGATATATTGCTGTCACTAGCACCAGGGATCCCTGTTTAGCCAAGGCGGGCCAGCCAAAAAGCCTCAGCGACCTGCCTAGGACTCCTCAGTGCTGGTAGCACAGGTGTGTGCCACCACAAACCATTTTTTGTGGGGTGCTGTAGATCAAACTCAGTCCTCAGGTTTGTGTAGCAAGCACCGTTACTGACTGAGCTCGCTCTCTCTCAGCCCCTATTTGATTTACTTTTTCATTTACATTGCTTACTTGTTTTCCGGTTATAAATTTGACCATATGCAATTGCCACGCCACTTTTTTCAGATCAGAGAAGTTGAACATCAACTGTTTCATATGGCTTAACCAGATAGAAAAAGCATTTACAGTAGCCTGTACTGTAAACGCTTCAGATGTAACTTCAGAAACTAATCTGCCAGATTTCTTCACCGCCATCTTAATTTTTGGTGTGTGGTAACATAAGGGAGTCTTGCTGCCCAGTTCCCAGAGCGGGCAGGAGAAGCTACAGCAAGTGACAAGGCCACATCACCCAGCTGTCCCCTGGTGCTTGTTCTCTGGAGCCCAGCCCCACCCTCTGTCCTATGAACGAAAAGGAGCCAGATCTCCCTGGAGCAGACTGAGCCCCTCTCACCTGCCCATCTGATGAGGAATTCATTGTGTACCAAGGACAGGGTGGTCTCCATCTTCCTGTTTCCATCCAGTCACTGCCCCAGTGGCTTCCAGGATGGCCTTGGCAAGCCGGAAGCTCTGCCCACCAGGCAGGTGGACTGCTGGTGAACGTCTCCGAAAGCATGTTGACTTTTCAGAAGACTCTGCAGCCATCAACTCACCTCAATCACATGTTATTTTCTATCAAACCATCTTTTATCTCTGGGTAGCTAGAGCTGTGGTTGTCTTACACTTTTGCCCCAAGCTGTCTTGGAATTGCTAGAGTCTCAACTTGAACTTTTCCAGTGTCTTGGAGATCATTGGGCATTGTAGCCCACGTTGGTCCATATGGTCTTGCCTAATTTCATATCGGCAGGGAGACCTCAGCTTATTGCTTTCAGGTCCACTAGTTTTGCCAATGTCCATCTTTGGGCAAGTGCGAAGAAGACATAATTGGTTCTCTGTGGTGGAGCAAGGTTGTTTGAAGCAGGACAGAACATTGCGCACCTCACGGAGGCACGTCAGGTCACCTTTCTCCCCAGATGTTGTGAGCAGGCAGCAACAGGGCTTAGGAAGCACTGGGGTTTAAGACTCACATAGTCCAGTGTTTAATCCTCCTGTCTTTTCATTTTTTTTTTTGGCCTGGGGCAAGTCTTGTCTGTACTGCACACTTGAAATGAACATAAAGAGATGGTGGGGGACTGGAGAGATGACTTGGCAGTGAAGAACATGTACTACTCTTGCAGGGGACCTGAGTTCAATTCCTGGCACCCATATCAAGCAGTTCACAGCCACCCATAGCTCTAGCTGCAGATCTGATGTAGTCTCTGGCCCCTTAGAATACCCACATGTGACTATGCGCCATACATACACATAAATTATATTTAATATTTAAATATATATTTCTCTATAATGAATATATATTTATATTTCTATAATAGATTTCTAGCTATTACATGTTACATATAATTGTGTAATATAAACAAATGTATGGAAGTGTGATAGGGTAGGCAGATGGTATCATGGGAGAGCCCTTGCCTAGTGCATGTTAGGGTTCAGTCCTTAGCACATCACCCTCTGCCCTTCAAAAACAAACAAACAAAAAACCCTGCTTGGTCCATGTCAGTTTAGATCTCTTTCTCCTGTCTTATGCAAACAGCTTACCCCAAAGGAGCTTAAGCCAAGCAGAGCCTGGCCTGTTTTCCCCACGTGATAATAAACGATCAAAGACAACAACCTGTAGCTTGAAGACTCCAAGGTCAGGATCTCTGTCCTTCCCGTTATCTTTTCTTATCCTTTGGAGTTACGTCAAGCCTCATATCCCTGTTTTAACACAGCTTAGCTCCCGCTAGATGTTCCCTTTTCATTAAAAAAAAAAAAAAGGCCACTGTTTGGTAGAACTTTGTCCCAGGCTACCCAGAAGCATGGCTTCTGTACCAGAGTAAGGCAAATTGGAAGGGGACATGGCCATCATGAAGCTGGCCAGCTAACAACTCTACCACAGTAAGAAGAGCCACCAGCGTCCCTATCCGATAGTTGAAGTAAACCTCATGTTTTAATGATCGTTTTTCTCTCTTTGGGGTAGAGAGTCTTAGAGTCTTACACTGAGACAGTAGTGAAATAATTGGCTCCCTGAGCCCATACTCTCAACTGTGGTTCATCCACCAAGGCAACCGCTCATCAAGAGAGCAGAAAATGTGCCTCTGATCAAGATGAGGTGGAGAGGGACACACTGTCCTCTGTAGGTAATCAGAGCACTCAGGAGAAGTGTGTTGTCACAAGGTGAGGGAGCTTACTTGCTTATGTCATCTAAGGATAAACCTGGATGACCCCGAGGGTTGTCTGCCCTCGGTGCTATTCAGGTTCATCAGAATTCATCTTCAAGACCAAGAAAATAGAGCTAAATTGGTAGAGGAGGAATTTGGACTAATTCCAGAGCAAATTATTTCTGATGGATGAACACTAGAGTACACTCCTGAGGAGGCATGGGATTTGCAGAAGCTTAGAGACACCTGAACTTCAGAAACACCATCTAACCATGCCCCATCCAGCATGGGGGCCCCTTTGCAGTGGCCCAACCCAGTGCCTGCACACTCCCCTCTGGGGAAGACTCAGTATCTTAACTGCATCTGTCCCCATTAGATTTGAGCTAGGTATTAGGATAGCTCCCAGACTGGAGGTCTTCCCAGCTGGTAAGGATGTAATAACACCCCTCCCAACTCCTGCTCCAGGTAACCAGTCTACCTCTAGAGCTACCCTGACTGTGGGTTGCCTATCCCGTGGCTGTCTGCCCCAAGGCCAGCCCAGACTGTGGAGAGTCTAAAGAGAACATCAAATTCTGCCATTTCCCAGCATTAGGGGCCCCAAACGAGGCTTTTCCAGTTCAAGCATGACACTTTCTCTGCCAATCATCAGGTGATTCGGTCCTTCCTAGATTCTGTACCTTAAAAGTGGGTGCCTGCTACACTCCCAAATAGTCAACCTTAGGCTCTTTTCTGTCTTGCTGTCACTCCACTGCTCTGAGGCATTTGGTCCTTTTGACCAGACCCTTCTCAGACTTCATGCCATAGCTGTTGATATCATCCACCCTGTCCCTCCTCCTACCTCATAGCTTTCCTTCTTGGATTCCTGTATCAACCTTCCTTGTGCCGTAATCCAAGTTAGGGATCCCAGGATCCTATGCTGGCTCCTTTCCTGACTGTGATTTTAAGAGAGAGTCTATGCCTTCTCTTAAGGTTAGGGTTAGGACTGACTAGTACCTCTCACCCTGCCACTGCCTCCCAACTCCCAGTCCCATGACCTTTATAGTCAGAACAACCACACATTTCCCTGGTGGGACTCTCTGTCCCTGAGTCCTACCTCCTCCAATCTGGCCTCCATTAAACCAGCAAAGAGATGCTTCTAAAATGCGCATTGGTCCTCTTCCTTTTTTAAAATTGTGACATGACTCTTCATTGCCTGGAAGACTATAATTTTAATTCACGAGAGTCACCTGGAACCTGGCTAAACTGCAGTCTCACGGAGAGCTGAAGTTAGGGTAGTCCCGGAATCTGTACATCTCCCAAGCCCCCCCACCATCACCCATCTACTCCTCACACTTGGGAGAAGGCAGAGTTTAACCCAAACTTTGTAGAAGACTCTGGAAGGCCCATCATGAACTGGCCTCTGTCTGGGTCTCTCACCTCCCTGCTCCCCGTTCTCCCCTTGCACCCTCAGCGCTAACGGCAAGGAGCAGTGGGGTGTCCCAAAGACGCCTTATGGTCTGAGTACCTCAGGGTATTCTGTCTGATGTGTCCTATATCCATGTGCCTGACATTGGCCTGCAAGCTCCCTGATGCCAGAAAAAAAAAAGTGTCTGGTTTCTTATTTATGTTCCTAGAACCTACCTCATTGCCTGGACAGTAGTCAATGGTATTTTAGAACTAGTTGAATGAATAAATAATAATAACCATCACTGTTCTCTGAAGATGCAGCGTAGACATCATATAGCACTGAAGCCCTTTCACCTTTATGCCCTCACCACATTCTGCCACGGAGACTCTGAGGCCCTTAGCATGAGTCTGTTCCAGCACATTCCTAACGCTTTCCTTCATTATTTGCACACGTGCCGCTGCGGCCAGGAGCGAGGTGCTGAGCACTGTGCACAGCATGCCGGCAATGCTTGGGTTGCCGGAGGGGGATCATCACCTTTTCTTCTGGTGTGCTGACAGTAAGTCCTCTTTGGGCAGCCTGAGGTTGCATAGCTTTTTCTGGCAGCTGAACTGGACTGTTTGCCCAGAATCTGTTTACAAGCATCTCAAAGCCCTTGAATCATTTCTGTAGGAATCAGTAACCAAAGTGAGGCTCCCAGCTCTGTTCTTCACCTTCAATCTCCAGCTTTCAGTACAGGTCTCTTAACTCTATTAAAACCATACGCTATATTAAGCAGCCTGTCAAGATCTTGTTAAATATTTATTCCATCACCTGTCTTATTAGGGGGCCCTCCCACTTTAGTTATGAGTATATTAGGAACTGTGCCATTTAGATGTCGTCCGAGTTAATGTGCTCAACAGAGACAGGGCCACAGGGTAGAACAGAAACTTCTTCCAAGCTGGTGTCTGGTTAATTAGCGAACTTACATTAAAACTGTTTATCTACCTGGGAATTTACATGAAGTGCTGGAGCCATCCATGAAGGATGGCGTCTGTGGATCCTGGGTGGGTATGGCAGGTCCATCCTTTTAACTTTTACTTCCCACATGCTCAGGTTTTCCTGGGCTCCTTACGAGGGCACCTTACTGAAGATGCTGGGGGTCAGAAGACATCCCATTCTGAGTTCTGTGTTTTTAATGGCTCTTTGCAGACTGTATGAAGCATTGCTGTCATTTCTTGATTTCTCAGACAGGAAGTCCAATACAGCCATTGGAATACTCACAGATTTGTCTCTGGAAGAAAGGTAATTGTTTTGTTTCTTTAAATTAATAATTCTTCAGCCTCTTTTAAGCTGTGTGATCTTTGAAAAAAAAATGCCAGCATCTACAGAGACTAGCCAGATTCTCCAGGTGAGCATTACAAGATTTGCTGAGTAAGGACACTGATGGATTCCAGAGGCCGATGGCCATCCACTCTCATCCCAGTCCCCTCCAGGTGGACAGTAACCTGGTCGTCAGTGGACTTGGAAGACATAACTCACAATTAGCCCTTGATTCTATTAATTCTGCATCTGTGGACTTAATCAACCACGGATCAAAAGTACTTCTAAAAACTGCTTCAGTACTGAACCTGGACAGACCCTTTTGCTTATCGGTTTCTAAACGACACATATGATGGGCATTTATGTAGCGCTTACATTGTTTCAGTACCGTAACTACAAATGATGAGGGATGCTGTGAAGTTCCCTGTAGGTTATGTAGGGTATATGCAAATACTGTGTCATTCTATGTCAGGGACTTGAGCATCTGCACAGCTTGATATTAATAGTGTCCTGGGACCAGTCTCATCCAGACAATAGGAGAGTGACTACTGACAACAGAGCTTCTTGCAGTGAGCGTGTCAGCTATGGCTCAGAAAAGCTTCCTGGCTCTTGCACCTGGTACACAGTAAACTGCTGGCAAATCTGTGTTGAATGATGTAAGTGAGCAAGCCTAGGAGAAAGAACAGGGAAACGTAGCCTCCTACTGGGTTGCCAATGATACTGAGTAGTTATCTCTTCCTGCTTTGTGTTTTGTTTTTAGCTGCTAAGGAGGAGATGGTAAAAATCCTAGATTTCAGAATAGCTACAAATTCTTAAGTCATTTCTTATGAGCATTTAAAACATCCATTGCACACACTGTGAGGCTTGCCTGGAAGTAGTCATAGAAGAGAGAGCTCCCATGCTCACAGGTGGACCAGCTGGGGTGGGCTGCAGGCCTAGAATGTGGCACCAGCATGTGGTGATATGTGTCTGGGCCTTCCTGTGGCCGTGATGAGTAAACATGCATTCATGGTTTCCTACCTGCGCTGGGCACACGGGACACATAGTCCCAGAGCAAGGAGAAGGGAATGCAGACAACTCGGCAGAAGCTGGAGAGTCCAGCAACTTCTCCCAACAAGAGCCATTGTTTGAGACCTGCTGCCTCACATGACAGATGATTTCCTAGGCTGAGAAAAATTAAAGTCATGTGACAAACCCAGTGACTTTTAATCTTAGGCGCACAGAATGAATTATGAATGCATACCGTAAGTCACGCAGACCCTGTTTGTAACTCTCTGAGGCATCACCCGAGATGCCAGCCTCCTGGTGTAGTTTGTATAATTTAAAAACTATCCTGGCTGATGTTCTCTCAACAGATTCCAAGTCTGGTTCCGGGCCAACCTTCCGAGTGTCCTCCCTGCACTCACAGGTGTTCTGGTGAGCAAACCCCCAGTTGTCTCCTCTGTGGCAGATACAGGACAGAACTGTTGAAACACAATTTACATCCCAGCTCCCTTGTTGTCTCTCAGCTTGATTAGTCATTTATTCGCAGCTGGAATTTACACTGCTCTCACTTATTAAAACAACTGCAGGCAGGACAAATAAAAGTGGCCTATGGACAGGGCTGGCTGCAGGGGAAACCGCTGCCCGTGGGTTGCATCTGACACGGCAGTAGAGCCAGCTGCTCTCCCTCAGAGCCCTCCCAGCACAAAGTGTGTCTTCAGGACACGTTGTGACTTTGTTCCCCGGGTGGAAATCACCCCACCAAGACAAGGGTAGCAATACGAGGGAAGGAGTGAGGGCTCTCCTTGGAGAACATGCTGTGTCTGCCATAGAAAGTTCAGGAGACCCTGGAGGAGCATTACCACACCCCAATGTTTTGCAGCTGGTTGGGGAAGAAGCCAAGTGAGTGACTCCATCCTGTGATGAGGGTGACTTCATTGATGTCACGGTGTGACATCAGGTTAGCTGTTTGTCCCCCAGCCTTTTGGTGAGCAAGGGGTACTTCCAGAAAATCCTGCGGCATTGGTTATCTGCTGTCTGAGATGTCTCTGAATTTGCTTGTAGAAACGAGAGCCCAGTTTAACCAGCCCCTCGGCCCTCTGCCAGTGCATTGCCCTGATGGGAAACATCAGTGCTGAGTCTACAGCCAGAAGGCACCTGTTGGGCTGTGAAGAATTTGGGGATGCCTGTTTGGACCTCCTGGTATGTAATCACAGCCTTCCTAGTCTAAGTTGGTCTCCCATCCTCATGTGGAGCCCTGGTTTTACAGTTGTTCTGTTTCTCAGGGACTAGGGTCCCTTTGGCTTATCCCCTGTAGGTTTGGTGGAGGGAGTGGCCTCCACAGTCCTATAGATCAAGTCTCCTCGACCTAGGGAGATGTGGAGGCTTTTCTGATGGAGCTGATCATCCACTTCCACAGCCCAGGTTTCAGTGCAAACCCAGGGCCTTCCGAGCCAGAGCACCATAGCCACCGTACCTGAGACACCTTCTGTTGCCCTTAAGTTGATGCCAATTCCTAGAACTGATGTCTGTGCTTCCACCACCATCCAAGCTCATGATATTGACAATATAAGGAGTATGGGTATCTAAAGACACTCATCTAAGGCAAGAGATGACCGTGAAAAGCTGCAAGATGATCACTTTTATTTTGTTTTCAGGTCAAGTGTGAGGAGGACATGGACCTGTTCAGAGAGGTCATGTATTCCCTCCTAGGACTCATCATGAACCTGTGTCTTGAGGGCCCCTTCCTCTCTAAGGTACAGTGCTCTTGTCACCCTCCATGGGTCCCTGGGAGAGACTGCCCATATCGTGTTGCTTGACTTGTTCATGTTTTCACAAAGTGAACAGAGGCTTGTGGCCCTCAACATTAGCAGCTTGGAGATATGAAGGGATGGAGGGAGGCTCTTTCACTTTGCTGTGGGCCAGAGTCACTCCTGCGTTCATTCAGAGGACTGTCCACACACAGAACATGCTTTATTTCCAGACAAATAAAACATGTGCTCTGCTATGGAATCACGGTCCGGAACTAGAGGAAACAGATAGGGAAGCTATAAAAGAAGCTCTTGTAGAGAAACAAGGGCATGGGTGTTGTGAGCCTCAGACAGAGAGTGGTTGGCTCTGTTTGATTGAAAAAACACTGCAGAGGATTCTGACTGTCAGCTTTAAAGCTGTTTTCCCTTATCCCCACGTTTGTAGGCATGGACTGTGGAGATGAGCCGAAAGTGCCTGTCTCTACTGAACAGCCAGGATGGAGGGATCCTAACAGTAAGTTCTCCAAAAAGTAGACTGAGGTACCGTGTAGGTGGACTCCTCAATGCCCGCAAACACACAAATGCCAAATTTTTCCTTTAATCTGAGAACTTCTGGTGCTCCGCTAACATATGCATGTGAATTTTGTAGAGCCTAGGAACCCAAGGACATGAAGAATGTTGACACAATTCAGGAGGCCATTGGCCATTACCTTAGGGTACACTCTTCAGTTACTCACTTCTCTATCAGTGCAGGACCTAAAACCTAGCCAGACAAGGTAACATCCAGGACAGGTATCAGAAAACAGCCCTTTAAGAACTTCAGGCAGAAAGATTGGCTTCAGACCTTCTCAAGCTGTCCCCTCACTTGGCCTCCACCTGAGCATTGTGACACACCCACACCAATAATAAATAATTATAATTCTAAAACTTTTTAAATGAAGTGAAAGCTGGGAAATAAAGCAAATGAGATCTTCCAGGAAGTCGAAACAAAAGACAAAGATCTGTAAGGATTTATCTTTAGATACATGAAAACTGAAAACTCCAAAGGTCAGACCTGGAAGGAGAGCATCTTCTCTGCTGATGCTGCGGTCTGGGAGGCACCCAGAAAGGATTGAGCTGGCTTGGCCCTGTGTAAAGCAGAACTACACTGGGCTTCTGTTCTGGGAGAGAGTATTTCCAGCTCTTTTAGCTGCTTACCTGGCAGGTTTATTTTAAAAAAGAACCATGTTCACTAGGTATTCTTTGGCCATTATATCATTCAAAATTCTAGGGATAAATTTGGCTTCCAATACAAATGATTGCTCTTGCCTAACTTCTTCCTCCTCGTTAATTTTTAAAGTTGTCAGCATTTCAGGAAGGGATGTGTAAGCATCCTCCTTGTGTCCCCTCAGAGAGCTGCAGGTGTTCTGAGCCGGACCCTGTCTACCTCTGTAACCATCGTGGAGGAGGCCGTGACAGCAGGGGTTGTGAAGAAAATGATTAAATTCCTGAGGGTAAAGTAACTCCACTGTTTACAAGTTCTTAAATGTCCTGAGGTCACCCATTCAACTCAGAGAGCAGATGAAGCTGGGCTCTGGTCAGTTAACATGTCAAGATGTCGTCCCTTCCTGAACAGAGAGCCTCTTCTGCCTGTCCGCCTGGACAGGACCCCAAACAGTGACAGAGACCACTGAATGAAAAAGCAAATTGTTCTCAGCCACAGTGATTAAAAAAAAAAAAATGCTTGCCCTCCAAGCCCAGCTTTGAAACATGCAGCCTCTGTCCTTGAATGGCTTTCTGCAAGGTTTCTTAAGCCAATTATTTTGTTCATGGATTGCTGGTACCTTCTGTCCTTACCTGGAGTGCACCAGTTGTAACTCCATTTGTGGGCTCTGGAAGCTGCAGAATTGTCATGTGACCAGAGGATGTTGGAATGAAGTGAGTGCAGTGAATCCGAGTGAGGAACTAGATTCACTGGAAAAGGCAAAGGAAATTATCAGGCTGCTACCTCTAGATCACACCCATGCTCTGCAAGGCCCACTCACTCATGCCAGGGCTGCAGCAGCACAAATCCTTGGTCTGAGTAGGGTAGAAAGCAAGCTCCAGACTGAAGAAGGTGCTACCAGGGTAGGGCAGACAACAGGAGGCAGGGTGAAGGGTCTCAGTTAAGACTGATACTTGGTCAGTGCCTGTTTTTAATAATCCTATTTTTGGCGCTATGTCAGAGACTGCTGGATGCACGCATACACATACACACACACACACATCCTAAAGACCCTGATATTATGGGTTATGATTGCATAATTGTTACCTCTTACAATGATTTCAGTTCGTGATTCTTCACAAAAACTGTCAACCCTTATTCTCCAAAGGCCAAATACCTAAGGATGGGGAGGGGTTGGGGAGGCACAGTGGCATTTGCTTCCCTTTGGGCAAATGTCTGCTACTGAACAGTATCACTGTTGTCAATGACAGTCTCTCATACCTCCTAAGTGGTGTCATATATGTAGGAGACAGGCCTGTATTTCTACCCTATGTAGAGGAATATTAATTCAGAACATGGCTGTTCTGGCAAGAGATCACATCCAAAGACCTTCTAGGTTTGTGTGACCTGGCTGGAATACAGACACACCTTTAATCCAGGAGACAGTGGCAAGCAGATCTCTGAGTTCAAGGTTAGCCTGGTTTAGAGCAAGTATCAGGTAAAGAAAAGCTTAGCCGTGGTGGTACATGCCTTTAATCCCAAACAATGAAGGTGAAGAAAGTTTGTAGAATGAAGCACCCATGTTTGAAAGTGATGTCTAATTGAGTGGCAGAAACAGTGACGAATCAGAGAAAGACTTGACATAATAGGATACACCCAACTCTCACAAGAAGAGAGAGGAAAGAGAAGCTACTTAAAGGGCAATGAGAGAGGAAAGAGGCAGTTTTACCAGGACAGTAATAGGGTGCAGAGAAGAGCACAGGTGAATATGGAACAAGCCAGAGAATGAGAAGGAGCCAGAACATTAGAAAAGATTGCTGAAGTTAGTTGGAGGCCAAGCAGAGCAATTCAGAGGCTGAGAGAAAGGCCAGATTAAATAAGTCAGCTGGGAGAAGAGTATGAGCCACAAGAGCTGAGTTGAACAATCCAGCTATGAGCTCAGTAAAAAGGAGAAAAGGTGAGCTTATTAAGCAGTTAGCCTCAGAGGCTGAAAATGCTGTAGGCCTAGGTTAGCTTAGTCCTAAAAGCTTCTAGGACTAGGCCTAGGTTAGCAGGGGGAGGCAGTAGGCCTCCAAGACAACAATTGTAACAGACTAATAAAAGTTCCTTTGACAACCCTGGGCATGGCCTAGGTGGACAGGTGGATACAAGCAACACTCCATCCTTGTTCACCTAAGAAGCACATGCCATGCTTCATCTAATTCTCTTTTAGAAGGCAAGGAGGCTGCTGGCACTGTTATCATTGAGGTATCTAGGCAAGAGTGATTAAAACCTTGATAAGTTGGTTTACTGATCTTGTTCTGAAACCTAGATGGGAGGCCAGACAGCATCGCGTTATGCCATAAAGATACTGGCTATCTGCACAAACAGCTATCATCCAGCTCGAGAAGAATTAATGAGACTTGATAAAAGTAAGTGAGAGTTTCATTAAGGAAGCCCACAGCCCGGGGGGGGGGGGGGGGATCCAGCCTGGGAGCTGCAGAGCGAGCTAAGGCTGAGCAGGGAGGAGAGGCAGGCAGCCTCACTCCCTCGCAGTGTTTACACTACAGGATGTCAGCTCACCTCCCATCACGGACTGTTTCATTGGCCTTTGGTCTATGCTTGGGTAAAATGCCAAGCAGCTCAAAGATCACGGGCAGACACTGGACAACTCCCTCCACCCGCAAGCTAACCTGGATTGTTTCCATAGTGATGCTGGAACTGGCCTAGCCCCAGCCTCCTTCACGGATGGAGGGCCAAACAAAGCACCTTCAACCACAAGAAAACAACTGGAATTTTGGCCTTGAGGCCAGTTTGCTTTATAAAGTTAACCTGGAGAGTATCTGACGTCACTTCATTCAGTAGATTTGAAAGCTGCAGAGTTACCATATGACCAAAGAGCAGTCTAATTCTTCCATGATCTAACTTAAGTCCTAAATCTCTGTAGCTATTCATAGAGAGGGGGTCTCCCAGCAGAGGAAGTTTCCTAAAGTTCATCACACCTCTTTCCCCATACACTGAATGTGACTGACACAGTGGGGCCCACAGGGGGCAAGAACCTTCCTTCTAAAAAGATGCATTTGCCTCTCACTCAGGCCGTCGGGCAATATAGTATGGGGGATCTTGAAAGCAGACTTTTCTGACACTCAGAACTATTTATTTAAGTCTCAGATGTTGCTCTAGCTGGCCAAGAATTTGTTATGTAGATCAGACTGGCCTGGAATTCACACAAATCTATCTGTCCTGCCCTCCCGGGTGCTGGGATTAAACCACCATGCAGGCTATGCAAGCCCATCTGTACCACGGTACAGGATCATAGGGAGAGAGCACGTATTTCCCCAAGTTTCTGGAGAAGCTTGCCACCCACCCCTCGGCCCCCCATATCCTCCTGTCAGCCTCTTTAGTTGCTCATATTTCCCTGTAGTGTTCAACACTTTGATAAAGCTGCTTGACTCGGAGGATGAAATTGTGGTGGGCAACACTGCCCTCTGCCTTGGCAACTGCATGGAGGTGCCCAGTGCCGCCTCCTCCCTGCTGAAGACGGACATCGTGAAATTGCTGTTGAAGCTGGCAGGCAGCGATTCACAGGAGGCACCCGTGCAGCTGAACGCAGGCATCGCTCTGGGGAAGCTGTGCACGGCTGAGCCCAGGTTTGTTGTGGTCACCACTGAGCCAGGCCACCCAAGTGTTGGTCAGATCTCAGAAAGAACGGGGCAAGCCAAGCACTGTGTGAGGAACTCCATGGGGTTACCTCATGCCTTCTGTGCAGGTCTGTCAGGGTCCCATGAGCAACGTCTCTGGAAGAAGGGTCCCTTGGGGGAAACCACAGCCTACCGCCCAAGAAAGGAATGCATTTGACAGGGTTTGGTCCCATGCATACGGTTACCGTTTTCTTGTCATCCATTCCCCTCCAACCTGCTCCATTTAGCTTAATCCTCCTTCTTTCTCTCTCACAAGTGCTGTCTCTTCTCCTCCATTATGTCACTGTGACAAAAATACCAAAAATGTCTGTTTAAAGAGAGACTTATTTTGGCTCATGGTTTCAGAGGCTTCCATATCTGGTTATCTGTTGCTTCGGGCCTGTTGCAACACAGTGCCTCATGTCAGGTGCAAATGGGAAGAGGAGAACCATTCATGTCATGGTGACCAGCAAGCCAAGAAAGGCATAGTAAAAGCCAGATTCCCCAACTCCCTTTTGAGAACACCTCAGTGACCTATATTCTTCCCATTAGGCCCAATGTACTAAGGCAACTATTACCTTCTGACAGTAACATGGACAAGGCCTCAGCATACAGACCTTTAAGGATGTTTAATATCCAGATGAACACACCCTGCCTCTGTTTCTCTCTCTGCCCCATCTCTTCCAGTCCCCTTGTCTCTCAATATCTCTATATCTCTTTCTCTCTCCTAACTCTATCTCTTGATCTTTCTCTATCTCTGTCCCTCCCTTCCTTCTTTCCTTTTCTCCTTTTCTTGCTTCTTCACCTGGCTAGGAACTTGGAAACTTGCTTTGTAGCTCAGGGTCATCACAATCCCCCTGCCTCTGCCTCACCCATGCTAAGATTAGGAGTCTGCACCACCATACTCAGCTTCTCATCTTTTTCTTTACTTTTCTGGAACAGACTTCTGTCTGTCTGTCTGTCTGTCTGTTTGTTTTTGCTGATTGGTTGACTGGTTTGATTGACTTGGATCTAAGCAAATGGAGGACTGGTGCTGGCAACAGTTTCCCGATGGAGAGGCAGGGCCGCAGAACAGCACCTTTGAGGCCACCCAGCAAGCCAGAGCAAGAGACTTGGTCTCTCTTAGCTCTGCCTCCTGTCCTGGACCTGTTAAGTGCTTAGTCACCCCATCGTGTGTGTTTCAGGGTGTGCCCCTGCCACTGTGCCATGGCCCCTTGTGTATAAGTGGGGGGACCGTGTGGATGATTCCTGCTGTAGGGCTGCACACCCCTTTTTCCTCCCTGGAAAATGAGAAGTCTATTTTGGATGCCGCTGAAAGCCCTTTCAGGCTCTCTCAGATTGATCAAGCAGAAAGTGAAACAATTAGCTAGGATAAGTTCAAAGTGGCATCCTGCTGTGGTGGGGCAGAGGGAGTTCCTAAGGGCACAGCTTCATCTGCTCACCCTGTCACGCCTGACACTCCCAGGGCTTCCAGTATTGTGTGGATCCATCCCACCCCCACCCTGACTACTCTCTTTGATCTTTAGGCCTCCCCAGTGACACTGTCACTTCCCCTTTCTCCCTAGAGTGACATGGCCCATGTTCACAGCCAGCATCCATCTGCAGAAGGTGGCTGTGAAATGTGACATATATTGACCTGGATTCTGCATCTTTTTTTTTCCCCTTTTTAATGTTAAATAGACATTTTTTTTAATTTTATTTTTTTCTTATCAGTTACATTTTATTAACTCTGTATCCCAGCTGTATCCCGCTCCCTCATTCCCTCCCAATCCCACCCTCCCTCCCTCATCTCCACCCTGCCCCTTTCCAATGGATTCTGCATTTTGATTACCACAGGTTTGCTGTCCAACTGCAAGCGCTTCACGGGATAGAAATTCTCAACTCTACAGTGAAACACTTGAATGACTCTTGAGAGACGCGGTGTCCATGTGCACATAACTGTGTGCCGGGGGTCACTGCTCTGCCAATAAAGGCTTTTAAAATACCTAACTACAGAATGCAATGTCTGTTGGGTTTTCACCGGGAAGGACAGAGCAGGTGGCTACCACAGTAAAAACCACTACTACTCGCTCTAGCATCCGTCACTCATATCCCTGATTTTCTCCTTCGTTTTCTACAGAGGCTGGAAACCAGCCAACCAAAAGCCTTGTTCCCCAGATGCCCTTGCAGCAACTCCAGTAGATGAGAACTAGATCCTGGGGGGAACATCAGGGGTGTTTGGCAGTGGCAGTTCAGCATCTGCCTGCAGCTCTCAGCCATTTGAGAGACTGGTGGTAGCACCAGGTTGGCTGCAGCTCCCTGAATCCCATCTGCAGCTGTGGCATATGCTTTTGAACTCTGAGCTGTGTAGTGATGAGTGACTCCCTGACAAGGGAGCTCTTTTCAGTCCTGGGCCTGAGGATCTTTACAACAGCCCTGTTCTATGTGTAAGATGGTTCTGGACTCACAGGGCCAGAACACAAGCTTCTATTCACTGAACCCCAAAGAATGTACATTTATGTCCCTAACCCACTCTACACTCCTGTCTGATCCATTCCCAAAGACACTGCTTCTTTCCCATTGCCCCCAGACCAGGGTCACCGGTGGGCTTTCAAATGAAAGGTTTAGTAAATAACAGTTCTCTGACTTCTCAGTGCAGTCGATGATTGTGCCATTTCAGGGAAGGAGGCAGGATCTGCTCTGTACAGTGAAAAATAAGAAACTCCAAACCAAAGCTCCCAAGAATAGTTCTCCCTACTACCTGCCTGCTGTGTCAACGGGTGAGTTGCCTAACCTCTCGGAGCTTCTCTGCACCATCAGGCAAATCTAGAATAATACATATTCAACCTACCTATGCTTAACCTGTGCATAACCTATTGAGGCTATATGAGATCTAGAATGCTTCCCCAAAGCCCCCCCCCACGTTAAAAGTTTGGTCCTCAGCTTGACAGGTGGTAGAAGTTTTGTTAGAGCCAGTTAGTGTTAGTGATATTTGGTTATGGGATCTTGGTCTCTACAGATTTCCAACCATACCATGGGCAAGTTGGTTTTGCAGCCTGTTCCTACCATTGAAGCATGTTTCTCACTAACAGAAGCCTAAATGTCATAGACCCACCTAGTCATAACCTAAAGCCTCAAAAACTGTGAGCCAAAATAAGCATCATATAACCTTCACAGCATAGATAGGTTGGATATGTATTATTTTGGGTTTGCTGATGGTTCCCAGCTCAGAGAGGTTAAGCAACTTAACCCAGGAACACAGCAGGCAGGTAGCAGGGGCGCCATTCTTGGGAGCTTTGGTTTGGAGTTTCTTTTCACTCTATGAATTCATTGCTATGGGTACTTGTTACGGTAACAAAAAGCTAGCTGACATTAGAGCTAAAGGTAATTTAGGAGCTACGCTACTGAACAAACATGACAGGCGCCATTCTTAGGCTACAGGCCTTCACTAACGTCCTGTGTGCTTAAGGGGTTGAGGTTTGAGGAGTTGATAAGATCATGTCCTCTCTGGGATCAAAGCCGCATATTGTCTGAAATGTGAAGGAAAGGAAACACTCCTCTGGGAAGATAAAAATTCTTTACTGGCAAAACAGCACTTGGCTAAAATTAAGAACTTTTTTTTCTCCTAAAAATGGATTGGGCAGTTGCATGTTGGAAGTCTGGATGAAAATTACTAACCCAGGGCCCTCTCTGTGGGACTGGTGCAACTGTCAGCAGCTGGTAAGAGCACACTGGGTCACTCTGAGATGGTGCTCTAACGGTATCCCCCAGGGGGTAGCATACAGGTGACAGGTCTCAGCAGAGAAAACAGGACCTGCCCATCCCTGAAAACAAAACTCCTTCAAGCAGGCAAATTGTATGTATGATGCTCAACAGAACACAGAGGGAAATTAGAGGCTACCATATCTGCCACTTTCAGAGAACTCAACAGGGCTTGGGGGATGCTATCAGCATGCAGAATCAACAGGCTGGTCTCCCGGTTCAAGGTCCAAGCCTCTCTAACTATCCTACACTCTTCCTCTCTGAAAAATCTCTGCTATAGGTAGGATCCCATCCCCAAAGAGTGAAATGTCACATTCTGCTGTGCTTAAGAGGACCTGCAGAGAGTCATAATCATATTGGTGGCAAGCCCACTGCACAGCTTCCATACAGGTGGAGAGAAATGCCTTACAAACAGGCAGTCTCACGAGGATGCCATGACGAAGATATTGTCTTCACTACAGAAGTAAAGCTAAGACTTCCTTGCCTGGGGCCGACTTATCTGTAAATAGATAAGTCGGAAGTTAACTTCAAACTAAAGACTCAGATGAATTTTAACTTTTTCTAATATGAAACATTTCTCTCCTGTTGAATGTGACTTGCATGAAACATCTGTGGTTTTTTTGTTTTGTTTTGTTTTTTCTGAGTCTCTGTGAAATGAGAGTAATAGTCCCATCTGATAGTCTCTGGTTTGGATATGTGCCAAGCGTCTAGCATGGGAGCTGGCTTAATCACCATGATGGTTAGACCGAAAGGATCCTTTCTCTCCCTCCATCTCCCTTTCCAGCAAACAACCCATTTATCTATTAGTCACTCCATGTCACTGAAGACAAGTATTTGCCCTTGACCATGTTTGCTGTTCCTCCATCCTATGCCTAAGCATCCCCAAACCCCACCTCCAGCCAACAGTGGCCTTCCTGTACACTTCTGAGATAGTCAGTCTAAGAATGCCAATCCCAGCAGATCTGGAGTTCTAGTAAACAGTGCTCCTCCTTAGGAGCCAAATGCCAGAGCTGAGGCTGGGCTACACTTGTAATCATAGGTGCCTCTGACTGCTCTAGTGCAATGTGCTGGGGTCATGTCCTTTCCCAGCAGATGCTCCTGTTATTTCTTCTTTGCCCTAATGACAAGCCAGGAAAAAACCTGTTGCTCCCAAGAACTGTCACTCCAACCACACACTCATCATTAGCCTCATCTCCCCACTGCTCTGGAAATGGGGAGAGGTGTCCCACTGAGCATCAGCCTTCCTCAGCTCCTGACCACGAAGCAGCTACAAGGCAGCAAGACACCAGCTGGATGGCTCATTTCTTTCTAACAAGATCTCTAATGTAATCTCAATTTCAAAAAGACAAAAACAAAGAGGAATGCCTTGCCCTGGGGCTGATAGCCCTTGGAAGGACTAGGCTCTGACCAATCTAGGGCTCTGCTCCAGCAAGGTGCAGAGCTGTCTCACGGGGTACTAGCAGAGCATTGGGAAGCATAATGAGAATCTCTGCCAGCCATCCCCAAGACTCAGGACTCCCCAGGTGTGGAGTTCAGAGGTCTTCCTAATTCTGGAACTGGCTGGTCTCCTATTACCAGCCAGTTCCAACAAACTGCCCGTTGTGGCGAGGGCGTCCTGCCAGTGAGGATTCAGCTCAGCTTGAGCATTGCTCCGCTGTCACATGTCCACCGCCAACCTCACATTTGTGCTTTTAATCTTCAGCAGCTCCATCTGCTCCTCCTGACCCTCCCCTGCCCTCCAGCTGCAGCACACACGTGTGCATGCACGCCCAGGCAGTTCATCTCCTGAAGCTGAGAGATGAATTTTCACGTGGAACTGGGTGAGCTGAGGTGCAATGGAGATTTAGGCTGGATAAAAGGCGGGGTGACAGAGTGAGAATTAGCAGTATGCACGGCAACGAAAATAAGTCCATGCCCATGTCGAATTTTAGGGTTCATCTCCCTGGGTTCTGCTAGATTGGAATCTCTCTGATTTTATCTGCTTGATGCAAGTCACTGGCCAATGATGTCCAACCCACAGCTTCTTATATTACAACAAGGAAGCTCTGACTCAGAAGGGCCAGGTGGGAATTTGGCCCTAGTTGGACAATGGCCTGACGTAAGGATCAAAGAAGTATAGGGACAAAAGACCAGGAGACCCTGCGAGGCAGCCCCACCATGGTCAGACTGCAGATTCAAAGCTTCTCTTCACCCTTTATGATCTTAGAGCCTCAGTGAGTTGCTTCACCCCTCCTGTGTCTGGGACATAAAAGGTGGCGATGTTGGGGACAGGATACTTAGTTCATGGGTCTGTGATGAGGATTAACTAGGGGATTTCTATGAAGCTCTCCATGCCGTGCTTGGCCCACCACAGGCTCTGAAAAGGGGCGGCTACATCATTACAGGGGTTTAGCTACTTCCACAGATGCCCCTGCTGGGCAATCCCTGCAGGGTCCTCTCAGGAATTCTGAAGCATGAGGGTTTTGATCAGGGTTGGATGGGTTCCTGTGTGGCCCTCTCCCAGAGCTGGGAGTTAAAGGAGTGGATAGCCAGTCTCAGTGTTATTCAGAAATCCACGTGCCTGTAAGAAGGGAAGGGCTGCTAGGAATTCAGATGGGGCCAGGAGCAGGTTGTATGTCAGGAAAGTGGGGTTGGAGATGCATTATATGTGGCTCATTGGGAGAGTGCTTGTCTAGCATGCCTGAGGCCCTTTGTTCAATCCCTGGCATTGCCAAAAAGGAGTGGGTGGATGGAATGAACACATGAAAGAAAGGAATGGCAAGGGAGGAACCAAAGCCTGGATGCCACTATTCTACTTTCTCAACCCTGCTATACCATATGCTACCAAAATAATATATGGGAGAAAACCCCTCAAAACATGAAAATGTGCATGATGCAAAGGACCAATAAAGGAATGCAACCTTGTGTGGCCTGGGGCGATTAGCCCCTGACATTTCCCAACTGGCAGACCTGCTTCTGTGCTCTGTAGTTTCTTTTCATTAATACACTGCCTCTATGTCTACCACTATCCATGTGTCCCTTATCCTATCCTTTGTCCTGGAAAGCAGAAGAAACCTCAGTGGGTATCCTTTGGAGCCTAACCTATGCCTGTAACACCACAGAGGAATGGGAAAGGTTGACATTAAGTGCACAGTGGCATTGGTGCTGTGAACAAGATGCTGCCCTACATCAGCTTCAATGGGACTAAAGAAGGCAAGAGTTGAGTTCACTTGAAAAACCTCCTTGCTGGGCTCTCCACC